AATGGCCATAAAACTCACTGGCTTATCTATGAATAAAAACTATACCCCTAAATTCACTGCACCTTTTCCTAAAAATGCGTTATCTACTAAATGTCTCCCTCTTTCATATTCAGTATATGTTACAAATTCTTAATTTGAATTTTGTCTATCCTGTGGAACTCAATTTAAAATCCACCTCTCACTCTTTCCCTGACCTCATCAATCCTCCCTTCCTCTGAGTTCTAAAGCACCTATATCCATCTTCCTTCACCTTATATTTTTTCCATGTTTGTCACATCTTTTCTAAAAAACTATAAGGTTCTTCAGGGCAGGTACCATATTCCCAGGTATGCCTTAAGGACAGCCAGCAGAGAACCTTTATGTACGGGTAAGAATTCTGTCATATTTAATTGCACTAGACCTTAATTGACAAGTCAGGCACCACAAATAATGTGGTGCCTCTGGGCCATCAAGGTGAGGCTTAGGAAAATACCTGAAGTCTTTCAAAGTTTCCCTTTTCAAGAGCACTTCACAACGAGGACTGCAGGTGGTAAAAGGAAAAGATGTAAGTTGTGGAAAGTTAGGCTGTTTTCTCACCCTTAGAGGTCAATAACCCAACGACTTAAGCGACGTTAAGAACTAAGTACGGTGACAGATGGATACTGGACTGCTTGTAATCACTTTGTAAGGTATAGAAACGTCAAAGCACTCTGCTATACACCCGAACCTAATGTAACATTGTATGTCAACCGTAGTTTAAAAACAGCTTTACATGGGGGAGGAGGGGAGGGCGAAGGAGACATGGCTCCAAAAGAACCAAGGCCACAATGTTCAACAAGGCACCACGTGTCACTGGTCGCACAGAGTGGGCAAAATCCAGACGCCCTGTCTGTGGTGAGAGGGCTGGGGGCACTGATGTCCACTGGAAAAACTCAAGGGGCCTGCTCTTCTCAGCACCGAAATATGGCATAAAGCACACACGGGCACAGACAGGCAATCAAAACCAAGTAACACACAATAGCAAGGAAATTCTGAGATGCTCTCCGTTAAAATTACAGAGGCCAGAGAGTGAGAAAGACAGAACAATTTGCTTCTTAATAGCTGTGAACCAGCTGACAAAAGACTGCTCACATTCCTCCCACCCCCTGCTGGCCCTCCAGACTGATTTCCAGGTGGCCATTTCCGCAGGTTACCCTGGCCAGCCACCAGCAGCCAGGAGCCTCAGGTCCTCGTTTACACGTGGGCTTTCCCAATGCTGCCCGCCGCAGACCCACAGGAGGGGACATTTCTCCCTGTGGACTCTGTGCCTAGCCCAGACCTGGCCCTGCTTCCCCGGCTCCCGCCTTCCTGCCTGTAGCTCATGAAAACTCTTTCACCCAGTTTACATCTTCCCTGATGTAATGAAAATGCCTGCAAACTCTGAGATGATGGACACGTTACTGTTCCTACCAAGCTGGTGATGTAGACTCCATGCCCCAAGGCCGGCCTGCGTTTTGGCCAGCAATGGCCTAATGAGCCCTTTCTTTTAAAAAAACATTTCCAGCCGTCTACACGAACATTTTTGTTTGTTTGTTTCCTAAAATGAAACTGTTGAGGCAAATGGAAAAGAAAGAAAATGCCACGAAAGCCTGAAAAAGCACCACTTTAGGTGAGAAGGCTAAAGCGCCCTTGGGTGCTATTTCACGGGATTCCATTTGGGTGTCTAAGAAATAAGGCATTCGGCCTGCACACCTCCCTAGACTTGCCCATGGATTGAACCTGACAGTTAAGTGGTTCGGCAGCCGCCCTGTCGTAGGGCTGAACCTTTACACTTCTAAGCAGGACTCTCCTTTTTATTTATTAAAGGGCAGCCAGTTGTCATTTTTACAGGATTGTGTGAGCTGTTCAAACTCTTTTTTAACTTCTGAACGGGACATTAGCTTCCAAAACCACGATGGGGATAAATATGGAAATCCTTTTAGTTTCAATTCCTTTCGGTGAAAATTCACATAATTCATATTACCATGAATTTTCTTTAGCCGTCTCATCAGCCTGGTCCGAGTAGGCTCAACCAAAAAAAAAAAAAAAAAAAAAAAAAAAAAAAAAAAAAAGGACTCTAGTGAATGGACATTACTACTGATTCTTCTTGTAAGTAGCCATAAATGAACCAAAATAGTATCACCAAATTTAGGTATGAAATTCCACATGTGCAAAGTACTGTTAAGGTGAATCATTTTTCATGAGATTTACAAAACTATTTGAAATATTAAAAAGCATTATCTTTTAACAGTGGGGGGGGGGGGGGGGGAGAACTAGAACTATCCTAACTCCTCCTGAAGGAGGAGCATTCTCCAGGGTGGGTCTCCCTGCAGCAGCCCTGACCCCGGCACAGCCCCGGGAGTGCTGGCCTGCGGCAGAGGCAGGTTCTCTCCCTCTCCAGGGGCCAACAGCCAGCCTGGCACAACCGGAGAGAAGCGATGTGTGTCAGCGGATGCGGTCCTCAGCATTCTGCCCTGGATCTGGTCGTGAGAGGCGGACTGGGGGAGGGGGCCGGTCGGAGACGGTGCTCCAGACCCTGGCAGCAGGACAACCAAGATAGCCAAGTTGAAACAATGTGTCCTGCCCCTTTCCTAAAGCCATTTCCTTCCACAGCGGCGGGGAGGCGGGCAGCCTGCGTGCGGGTCATGAGTCCACGGCTGCTTTCCCTTTCACGGAGCCCTGCGGGCCGCCGGTAACAGAATCCCTCGCTGCCCCAGTTACCTTCCAGCCCGCTCTCCCCCGGGGACAGCGGGAAAGGCGCTGCTGTCCTTATCAATCCGCGGTTTTGATTCACAGAAGATGGGGCGGGGGGTGTGAAAAGTGGAAAAGGAAATAGAGGAAGGTGAGAACAGCAGGGGGAAAAAAGAGGGGGGGGGGGCCGCCCCGGTCATCGTGAGAAGGAGCCAAGGTGAAGAAGAAAGAAAGCCGAGGGCAGCCCTGGCCGGCAGCTCGGCTGGTGAGAGCATCCTGCCCGCAGCCAAGGCTGCCGATGCCATCCCCGGCCGGAGCACATCCGGGAAGCAACCAATGAATGCACACATAAGTGGGACGACAAATCGATGTTTCCCCCTCTCTAAGGAATCAACCCATAAATAAAAATGTTTAAGGAGGAAACTGAGGGGAGAGTGGTCAGAGGAGAACCTGCTAAGAAAGAAGGAGATGGGGGAGGGGCAGGTAAAGAGCGGGGGTAACGGGGCAGGTGGCGCGTCCGGGGGCCGAGGGGGAGGGCGGAGAGGGAGCGAGGGGCCGCGGCCGGAGAACAGTGGGCAAGAGGATTCGGGAGGCCGATTTCAGGGGTTGGGGGGGGGGGGCGCTTCCAACCCCTTCCGGGACTTCGGGGCGTGGGCAGGGACGCGGGGCTCTCACCGGTAGTTTGGGGTTGACCTCGCCCTTGCAAAAGTGGCAGAAAAACCGGTGCGCGGCGACGGCGGCGCCGGTCCCGGCCGCCGAGGCCTCCGCCATCTTCCTCTTCCGCCCGGCGGGTCCGAGAGGGATGCCGCCTCCCTCGCCTGCCGCTCGCTCGCCGCCGGCTGCAGTCGCCGCCCGGCCCGCGCTTCCTCAATGCGGCCGCCGCTCCGGGCCGCGTCAGTCACGTGAGCGCCCGGCCCACGGAGGCGGCGTGGACCCAGGCCCCGCCCCCAGCGTCACAGGCGCCGGAAGGGAAGTCAGCCCGCACCTCCCCCGCGGCGCCTCGCCGGTCCTCCAAACTCCCAAAGAGATGAGAGAAAGAGCGTCCCCGGGGAACCATCGAGACGCTGGGGTAGAGTGGCCAACGCTTTCCTCAATTCCGGGCCGTCCAGGTGGTGCGTCTTGCGAGGAAAGGCGGAGGGCTGTCCCTCTGCCCGGGCGGCAGCGGGAGCCGCACGCAGCCGAGGGAAACTTGGCGTTAGATTGCGGTGACCCAGAGGTTAGTGAAAACGCTGTCCGAACCGGACGGCCCTGTCTCTGGACCAAGGAACCCAGCCCCGAACTGGGACTCTACGTGCAGGGAGTAAAGAGCCAGGACCAAGCAAGCCCCTTGAAAGTCCTTTCCGGGGATGGCAGAGGGTCTGGGATGTTTCCCTAAAGACGTGTGGACGGAGATACTGCAGCCGAGAGGCAAAGTCTTGGCTTCTGAGGAATAAAGCAATGTTTGGTAGCACTTGTGATTTTCCTTAAAAGGAAGCAATTTTATACTCAATTATATATATATTGGGTCTACTTTGTCAAGAAGTAGAAATTTCCAAATTAAATACTGTCCTGCAAGCAACATACTTCATCTATTGAAATCACACTGTTACAAAGCTTTCCTTTACCTCGTAATTTCTTTTCCTTAATTGTCATTTCCTTTATGAACTGGGAATGATACTGCCTGTTCACTCCCAATAGGCTGTGAAGTGGCCTTAATTCTTCCAAACAGTGAAGTGTAGGAGCGAAGGCCTGTGACATTGTAAAACCATCTACACGCAATCTTTAAAGAAAATTAGGATCACACACAATCTCAAGATGTTTCTCTCTCCCTTCCTCTCTGAAATCAATAAAAAAAATTTAAATATTTTTAAAAGATCAATGTGATGTATAGTCCAGTTCTTTCTCTTCCTATATTTCTTTCTTGATTAAATATCACTTCACATTTTTCTTTGTAGCCTGCTTCTTTTACTTAGTGAACAATTTTCTATGGGAATACATAAACAAAAGTGCTGGAGTAACATTCCATTGTATGGGTTCATCATAATTTATTGAAGTTATTCCTCGTGGTTAGACATTACGCTGTTTCCAGTATGTTCGTATTCTAAAGAGAACTATAGTAGCATCTTTTTATTATTTCCTTAGAGGAGAGTATCCAAAACGAAATTATTAGGTTGAAGATATGCAAGATTTTAAGGCTTTTGCTATATATATCAAATCACCCTCCACAAAATACTTGAATTTATACTCAGCAGCTCTCCATGCAACATAATAAACCTCTTCAGCATAAAAATGTGTTTTCATTTTTTATTCTAGCTCTGAAACTCCTTAGTACAATGACTCAAGCAGAAATTAAACTGTGTTCTTTGTTGCTACAAGAGCATTTTGGAGAGATTGTGGAAAAAATTGGAGTCCACCTAATCAGAACTGGCAGCCAGCCACTACGAGTAATTGTCCATGACACAAAGACATCACTGGATCAGGTATGTTTGGAGGATACTAATTTGCTTTTATTTTCATTAATGTCTTTTACTTACCTTTGAATATTGTTACTTCTCCTCCCCCCCCCCAAAAAAAAAAAATGGGAAGGGAGAGAGCCTGCTCTGGGGAAAGAGGATGAGACAGAGGCCCACGGTCTGCTTCTCAAAGTGTTCCTGGCTCCTTGTGGCTTCGTAGGCACATCTTTGCTCTTCCTTTGCCGTCCTTCCTTTATTCACAATGAGTCTGTGCATCTCAGTACTGCCCTTAAAGAATGAGAATGATAGGAGGGAAGTAAATTGTATTTTGAGAAATAAAGATCTGAGGAAATATGAGCATCCTAGCAAGGAATCTTCCTGATTTCTTCTATTTATGTGTGACTCTTACTAGCTGTTCCAATGGGAGGAGGAAGGCAGCATGGAGATTCTTACCCAGCCATCTCCTGATGCTTAGGAAACTGTTGGGCAAAAATCATGAGCATCCGAGACCGGGTTTGGCTCAATGGATAGAGCGTCGGCTTGGGGACTGAAGGGTTCAATTCCGGTCAAGGGCATGTACCTTGGTTGCGGGCATATCCCCAGTAGGGGGTGTGCAAGAGGCAGCTGATCGATGACTCTCTCTCATCGATGTTTCTTACTATCTCTCTCCCTTCCTCTCTGTACACAATCAATAAAATATATATATTTTTCTTAAATCATGAGCAATAGAGTGTTGGCCTGCGGACTGAAAGGTCCCAGGTTCGATTCCAGTCAAGGGCATGTACCTTGGTTGCGGGCACATCCCCAAAAGGGGGTGTGCAGGAGGCAGCTGATGGATGTTTCTCTCTTATCGATGTTTCTAACTCTCTATCCCTCTCCCTTCCTCTCTGTAAAAAATCAATAAAATATATATATTTTTTAATTGTGAGCAATAAAGAGCTGTGTCTTCATATCTTCCTCTTCCTTTGGGTCTCGTCCAGGTGAAGAAGGCCCTGTGCGTCCTCATCCAGCATAACCTGGTGACGTACCAGGTGCACAAGCGTGGCACGGTGGAGTACGAGGCCCAGTGCAGCCGGGTGCTGCGGATGCTCAGGTACCCCCGCTACATCTACACCGCCAAAACCCTGTACAGCGACACCGGCGAGCTGATCGTGGAGGAGCTGCTGCTGAACGGCAAGATGACGATGTCCGCTCTGGTGAAGAGAGTGGCAGACCGGCTGACGGAAACCATGGAAGGTCAGTACGGTAGCCGCAGCTGTTGGCAAACGCACAGATCGGCTGCCTGCAGGAGGGGCCCTCGGCTGCCTCGGGAGTCTCACCTGCCTCTTCTCTCCTGTCCCACAGACGGCAAGACCATGGACTACGCGGAGGTCTCGAGCACGTTTGCGCGGCTAGCGGACACGCACTTTGTGCAGCGTTGCCCGCTGGTGTCTCCCGCTGAGAATGCAGAGCCTGGGCCCCCGCAGCCTGCTCCCACTCTTGTCATCTGTGAAAAGGACATGTACCTGGTTCCTAAGCTGAGTTTGATCGGTGAGGGATTTTGACCACTGAACTGTGATTTGCCCTAATTGTGGACTCTTCCTCCGTGATTGTTAAGTGAGTGAATGAATGAATGAATGAATGAATTGAGCAGTTAGCAAGTGTTTATCCTGTGTCAGATACTGTGGCATAAAACATAAAAAAACACATTGTCTCTGGCTTTTTGGGGGGCTGAAGGCTAGTACAGGAGACTTACATTAACAAACTGTGGTAAGTTCTGTGAAGGGAAAAAAATGTAAGGTATTTTTAAAATGTATAACGAGACTGGAGTTACCTGGGAGTTTGGGGCCCCGCTTCTTTGAGAAAGTGGCATGTGAGCCAAGATTTGGAGCAGTAGTAGTTGCTAACCGGTGAGGTAAGGTATGAGGGGGACAGAGGATAAGCATTTTTGGCAAAGGAATGTAGTGAGAGAGAAAAAATAGGGTATTTGGGAAAGTGAAGGAAGGTCAGTTAAAGCTCTGTGTGCAAAGGAAAGAGAGCCACGAGAATAAGGATAGAGAGATAGGCAAGGGCTAGATCATGCAAGACCTCCCAGAATATCTGTTCTTTATCCTACGAGCAAAGGAAAACCACTAACGGGTTTTAAACAGCAAAGTGACATAATCTAATTTGCATTTTAAAAGATTTTTCTGTGCACAGAAAGGATGGGGCAAAAGTAAATGTAGGTAGCTCAGGAGGTCACAGTTCAGTTCTCCGTCAGGGCATATGTGCCTGGGTTCCAGGCTCGATCCCCAGTGTGGAGCTCCCAGGATGCAGCCAATCAATAATTCTCTCTCATCATTGATGTTTCTATCTCTCTCCCTCTTCTTGCTCTCTGAAATCAATAAAAAATAATAATAATAATTACATTAGAAATAAATAAATGTAGACAAATTAGTGAAAAATATATAGAAATGGTGATGTGGAAAATATATAGAAATGGTGAAATGGTGAAGTATCAAGAATGATGTCTTAAACTGATGAACAGAGACAGATCCAGAGACAGGGAAGCAGCGATCAGATTGCCAAATCTCAGAGGGAAGATAGGGGAGGGTGGGGGAAAGGAGGAGAGATCAACCAAAGGACTTGTATGCATTAATATAAGTATAACCAATGGACCCGAACACCAGGGGGGTGAGGGCATCAGAAGTTAATGGATGGATAAGGACACATATGTAACACCTTAATCAGTAAAGAAATGAGGAAGGAAGGAAGGAAAGACGTCTGTGTGTCTGATGTGCTTGTGTGGGAGGAGGATGGTGCCGTTCACTGAAAGGAAACATTAGAGCAGGAGCAGTTTGAGGGATTAAGATTATGAATTTCTGTTTCACCGGGGAATTTCCGATAGCTTCATCATTTACCGAGTCTCTTGTCGCTGCTCCATCTTTTGAGCAGCTCTACACTAGCGGCAGCTACAGACGTCCCTGAGATAGACACTGTCTCAGGTTTGGTCCTGTCCTGTCATCATGAGATGTGGCCTAATAGTTCCACCTCTTTCATTTGGCAGGGAAAGGTAAAAGGAGGAGATCGTCTGAGGAGGATGCTCCTGGGGAGCCCAAGGCCAAGAGACTCAAACACAGCACAGATAATAAAGAGGTAATGGGGCTTTCTGATTAGGAGTCTCCCCCCCTTCCTCCCCCCCCCCCCCCCCCCGGAGGCAGGTCAGAAGGAGCCCTAAAGGTTCCTGGGTTGAGTTAGTAGAATTAGGACTTGATTAAACTTTGGTCAGCAATAGAGTAACAGAGTGAACTCCCTTCTGAGGCTTTAACGTACTTCAATTGTTGGACAGAGGTAGCAGCTTATGCAAAAAAAGGACCTAGAAAAAGGTGGTTATTCAGTATAGCTGGAACATGGCAGCCCATGGCTGTGGTGAGAAATGAGTCGGAAAGACATCTGTAAGCCTGAGCTTTAATCTTCAAACTAGAGGCTCTGTGCACGAAATTCGTGCAAGGGGCTTGGCCCTCGAAGCCACATTTGCCCTGGCTTTGTCCAGAAGGTCGTTCGGCTGTCTGGTCTAATTAGCATATTATGCTTTTATTATTATAGATGCCTTGTCAGCATCTCTACAAAGATGTCTAATGAGCATCTCACATTTAGTATGGCTAAAACAGAATTATTGTTTTCTCCCACCCAGATATCTGTTCTCTCAGTTTTCCTCATCTTAGGAAAGGACCTAGGCCAGTCACCTCTAACTCATCACCACTTGCTTAGGCTAAAATCCTAGAAACCATCTGATCTCCCAGTAAAACATGTCAGCCCCATTTCCAAAGTTACCTAAACTCCAGCTGTTTCTCACCATTTCCACTGCTGTCATCCTAGTCCAAACCATCAAACTTCGAGTCAGCTCTTTGCCAGCATTCTCCTAATGGTTACTCTACCTGCATTCTTACCTATTTATTATAACTTTCTTAAATTTTTTTTTAATCCCAACATAACACTGATTTAGACTCCTTTAATAGCTTCCCATTACTCTTAGAAGAAATCGAAGTCTTGACTATGGATTATTGAGCCTTATATGAGACCTGCTAGAGACCAGGCACTCCACCCTCAGCTCTTTCCATTCTTCCTCATGTTCACTACGTTCCAGCTTCTCTCTTTCCATACCTCAAAATGTCAAACTCTTTTGCCTTTAGTATTCCTTCTGCTTCAAATGTTTTTCCCACAAATCTTCACATGCCCAGGTAGTGGGCTTGATCCCCAGGGGGGGACATGGAAGAGGCAGCCGATCGATGATTCTTTCATATCATTGATGTTTCTGTCTCTCTCTCCCTCTCCCTTTCTCTCTGAAATCAATAAACATTACTTGATAAAAAGGATAGTGTCATAAAATCCAAGGGGGGTCACGTAAAATTAAGAAGGAAAAAATGGCCGAAACCGGTTTGACTCAGTGGATAGAGCATCGGGCTGTGGACTAGAAGGTCCCAGGTTCGATTCCGGTCAAGGGCATGTACCTTGGTTGCAGGCACATCCCCAGTAGGGGGTGTGCAGGAGGCAGCTGATCGATTATTCCCTCTCATAGTTTCTAACTCCCTTTTTCTTCCTCTGTGAAAAATTAATAAAATATATTTAAAAAAAGAAGAAGGAAAAAATGTCCCACCTTGTCATATGCTTCAGGAAGATCAAAGAAGATCAGAATTGGAAAGTCGTCTTTGGATTTAGCAGCCAGGAAGTCCTTGGGGACTTTGACATTCAGTGCAGTGGCGGGGATGGATTGAGTACCTCTGTGGACAGAGATACAATGGATGAGCAACTCTTTGACAACCTTGACTGTAACAAAAATGAAAAGGAGAAAACTCATAGTGTTGAAGAATTATTTTAAAGTAGACATTTGGACAAGGTAAAGGTTGGTGGGGGAAGACAGTAAAGAGAGAGGCTGAAGATTTAGAGAGGAGGGAAAACTGAGCTGGTCCCTGAGAATGCAGGGTGGGTAAGGTCTCCCATTTCAGTGTGGGCACTAAGCTTAGGTAAAAGGAAGAACCTGTTTTCCACTGTGTTATAAGTGGAATTTAAAAAAATAAATATGGGGAGTATGCACAAACTTGGATAAGTTCTGGCCTAATGGCTTCTGTTTTCTCTCAAGATGCAAAGTCCTCTGCTGAGAATGATAAGGGTGGGGTAAGTGAGATTTGGGGATATTGAAGAAGAGTTAAAATGTAAAAGAGAAAAGATTGGAAGTTGGTTGAGAATCTGTTTGAAGTGAGACTGAATTTATGAAGGCACTGGACCATGTGACCAGATGATTTTTCAGCAAACAATTGGTGGCCAGTTCCCTTTAAGCTCCTCACCAGAAAACTCTCCAGTGCACGCAGATGCTTCTTGCTGATCCTTTTCTCCTCCTCAGCCCATTCCAGATGATGGAATTTACTGGCAAGCCAACCTTGACAGGTTCCACCAGCACTTCCGAGACCAAGCCATTGTCAGTGCAGTGGCCAACAGGATGGACCAGGTGATGTCTGAGGGGGTGGGACAGTGGCCATCAGGGATGATCTTATTTGCCAGATGTGGCCATTGGCCCTTAGCCAGAGCCAGCACAGCAGAATGAATTCTGAATTCCAGTTCCCTTTTCAAATCCAGACCAGCAGCGAGATCGTAAGGACCATGCTACGGATGAGTGAGATCACCACTCCCTCCAATGCCCCCTTCACCCAGCCACTGTCTTCCAATGAGGTGAGTCTCCTGTTGTACTCCTTTTCTGACAGGCTCTTGGGTAGAATAACATAATTATTATACATAAAGCCTGGAATTAGGTTGATGAGGTTTGAGCCTCGAAAGAGCCTTTGTTATTTGAGGTGGGACAGAGATTATCTGCAGGTGGTAGGTACTAAAATATTTGGTCTCTTTGGATCCAGCCTTAAAAAATCTAAGCCATTCTCTTGGTCAAAGTACAAGCTATTCCTATTCTATCGATAAGAATGCACCACTGGAATCTGAGAACCTTAGTTCTCAAGACATTATATGGCCCCTTAATTGTTTTTTTCCCCCAACATATTTTGTATATTTTAAACTTGTTTAACTATATCTTTCTTAAAATATTAATATTTAATATATCCAATCTGTTTATTTATATTCTATTACTTTCCTAATATATTTATTAATACAAAAAATACTTACTAAACTTTTATTTAAATTCTTAACTTATATAGCAAAAAATTAAATGCATGCCCAACTATTGTAGCTCAGTGGTTGAGCATCAACCCATAAACCAGGAGGTCACGGTTTGATTCCCAGTCAGGGCACATTCCCAGGTTTTGGGTTCAATCCCTAGTAGGTGTTGTGCAGGAGGCAGCTGATGGATGATTCTCTCTCATTGTTGATGTTTCTATCTCTCCTCTCCCTTCCTATCTGAAATCAATAAAAATATTCTTTTAAAAAATTAAATATGTTTTTTTCTAATGACAAAGTAACTACATGACCTATATTCAAACAGAATAGCAATGTATAATTGTTAAAAAGTTGTAGTTCCCCAAACTATTATAGTCTTGCATAATTCCAATCCCAGGCATCCTTGTTAATAGTTTGGTGTGTATCTTTATTCAGACTATTTTTATGTATCATCCCACATATATATAGATTTGTGTACATGTTATAAACTTGTATTTTTCCTGTACCAATATAATATAAACCTTCTTTTCATGTCAGTTATAGATGTCTTATTTTTTTATAATGGCTATGTCATATTTCACTTATTTTTTTATAATGGCTATGTCATATTTCACTTAATGTCTATGCTGTACTTTATTTTAATCAATCCCTAATTTTTGGACATTTGGATTATTTCTAGATTTTTACTCTTATACAAACATTGCTGCTGTATTTTGGGGACATTTTTATACTGTGATATCTAAAATTAAAACATTTATTTTAGTATTGTCAGCAATTCTAAGTTCCCAAGCCCATTTTCAGTCTCTTTTCGCACCATAGATCTTCAGATCCCTACCTACCGGCTACAACATCTCTAAGCAAGTTCTGGATCAGTATCTCACTCTGCTGGCAGATGATCCAGTAAGTCTGTTTTTGCTTTTTTAATGTTCCTTTTTTCTGCTATGTTTATTGATTTCTGCCAGAGATACCTGGTCTCATTCTTCTATAGCCTCATTCTCTAGCTAACCGACTCGGACAGCTTCCCTGCCATCACCTAACACGAGGCTTCCTTCTACAGACTCTGGGCTAGATTTGCTCCTTTGGAAACAGAATCACTGGATTGTCCAATCAGTTCACACAGTCCCTCTTTTTTTTTTTTTTTAACAGCTACAGTTTGTTGGAAAGTCTGGCGACAGTGGTGGAGGAACGTATGTCATCAGTATCCTTACCAGTTATTTCTGTACAGTCTGGCAGCCGGACTATGAGAGTGGCAACTTATGACAGAAAGGATGTGAGAATAGTTGGTATGCTAAATAAGTTAGAAAATTTATTACATTGATGATAAAGAATTAAAAAGGACTTTTTTGTTTGTTTTTGTTAATCCTCACCCCAGGATATTTTCCCCATTGATTTTTTTTTTTTGAGAGAGGGTAGAAGGGAGAAAGAGAGAGAGAGAGAGAGAGAGAGAGAGAGATACATATTGATGTTAGAAAGACACATCGATTGGTTGCCTCCCACAAGCACCCCAACTGGGGCCAGGGATAAACCTGAAACCCAGGTACATGCCCTTGTCGGAATTGAATTTTCCACCCTTTGATGTGTAGGCTGACCCTCTAACCACTGAGCAACACTATCCAGGGCTGAAAGGACTTGTAATTAACCAAATTTTAGTTAAGCTAAATCCTGACTTAAACACCATACTTAAAGTTTTGAAGTATTTACTTATCATAAATGTGATCAATGTAAAAAACAAATAACGTTTAAATTTTAAATTAGAGACTTAGGAATTACCCGGGGGAGCAGGCGGGACTGGTGCGGCCAGGCCCGGAGCAGCGGCTGCCAGGCTGGGAGCGGCCAGGCCCGGGGGAGCAGGCGGGGCTGGTGCGGCCAGGCCCGGAGCAGCGGCTGCCAGGCTGGGAGCGGCCAGGCCCGGGGGAGCAGGCGGGGCTGGTGCGGCCAGGCCCGGAGCAGCGGCTGCCAGGCTGGGAGCGGCCAGGCCCGGGGGAGCAGGCGGGGCTGGTGCGGCCAGGCCCGGAGCAGCGGCTGCCAGGCTGGGAGCGGCCAGGCCCGGGGGAGCAGGCGGGGCTGGTGCGGCCAGGCCCGGAGCAGCGGCTGCCAGGCTGGGAGCGGCCAGGCCCGGGGGAGCAGGCGGGGCTGGTGCGGCCAGGCCCGGAGCAGCGGCTGCCAGGCTGGGAGCGGCCAGGCCCGGGGGAGCAGGCGGGTCGGGTGCGGCCAGGCCCGGAGCAGCGGCTGCCAGGCTGGGAGCGGCCAGGCCCGGGGGAGCAGGCGGGGCTGGTGCGGCCAGGCCCGGAGCAGCGGCTGCCAGGCTGGGAGCGGCCAGGCCCGGGGGAGCAGGCGGGTCGGGTGCGGCCAGGCCCGGAGCAGCGGCTGCCAGGCTGGGAGCGGCCAGGCCCGGGGGAGCAGGCGGGGCTGGTGCGGCCAGGCCCGGAGCAGCGGCTGCCAGGCTGGGAGCGGCCAGGCCCGGGGGAGCAGGCGGGGCTGGTGCGGCCAGGCCCGGAGCAGCGGCTGCCAGGCTGGGAGCGGCCAGGCCCGGGGGAGCAGGCGGGGCTGGTGCGGCCAGGCCCGGAGCAGCGGCTGCCAGGCTGGGAGCGGCCAGGCCCGGGGGAGCAGGCGGGGCTGGTGCGGCCAGGCCCGGAGCAGCGGCTGCCAGGCTGGGAGCGGCCAGGCCCGGGGGAGCAGGCGGGGCTGGTGCGGCCAGGCCCGGAGCAGCGGCTGCCAGGCTGGGAGCGGCCAGGCCCGGGGGAGCAGGCGGGTCGGGTGCGGCCAGGCCCGGAGCAGCGGCTGCCAGGCTGGGAGCGGCCAGGCCCGGGGGAGCAGGCGGGGCTGGTGCGGCCAGGCCCGGAGCAGCGGCTGCCAGGCTGGGAGCGGCCAGGCCCGGGGGAGCAGGCGGGTCGGGTGCGGCCAGGCCCGGAGCAGCGGCTGCCAGGCTGGGAGCGGCCAGGCCCGGGGGAGCAGGCGGGGCTGGTGCGGCCAGGCCCGGAGCAGCGGCTGCCAGGCTGGGAGCGGCCAGGCCCGGGGGAGCAGGCGGGGCTGGTGCCGCCAGGCCCGGAGCAGCGGCTGCCAGGCTGGGAGCGGCCAGGCCCGGGGGAGCAGGCGGGGCTGGTGCGGCCAGGCCCGGAGCAGCGGCTGCCAGGCTGGGAGCGGCCAGGCCCGGGGGAGCAGGCGGGGCTGGTGCCGCCAGGCCCGGAGCAGCGGCTGCCAGGCTGGGAGCGGCCAGGCCCGGGGGAGCAGGCGGGTCGGGTGCGGCCAGGCCCGGAGCAGCGGCTGCCAGGCTGGGAGCGGCCAGGCCCGGGGGAGCAGGCGGGTCGGGTGCGGCCAGGCCCGGAGCCGCGGCTGCCAGGCTGGGAGCGGCCAGGCCCGGGGGAGCAGGAGGGTCGGGTGCGGCCAGGCCCGGAGCAGCGGCTGCCAGGCTGGGAGCGGCCAGGCCCGGGGGAGCAGGAGGGTCGGGTGCGGCCAGGCCCGGAGCAGCGGCTGCCAGGCTGGGAGCGGCCAGGCCCGGAGCAGCAGCAGCCAAGTCCAGAACAACTAGGTCGGGAGCGGCAGTGACCAGACCCGGAGCAGCTGGTTGTGGAATGAACCAGAGCAACAGAGGCCAGGCCCTGAGCAGCCAGGCCCAGAACAGCTCGCTCCCTGCCTGCCCCTGCCCCACGGCTGCTTCTCAGACATGGCTGGAAACTTTCGTGGGAACTTGAGGGTCTGCTGAATCAAGTGATGAAGGCTTAGATCTGGATGTGTTGAGTTAGTTTAGGACTGGGGTGTTGATCTGTGAGTGCCTTGGGTGGGGCCTGGATGAGGCTGGTTGACCTATTGGGAAATGTCTTTTGTGTGAAGTGTATCATTGGGCATGTGGAGGTATTATTGATATGAGAAAATGCTAAGTAACTGATTTACTATCTGAAAAGGGATTTACTATTGAGGAAATTGAGGGAATAAGAGACTGAACATAAACTGCACCTATGGATGAGGACAATGGGGGATGGGGGGGGGGGACGGAGGGTGGGGTGGGAACCTGGTGGAGGGGGGAAGAAATGAGGAACCTTTGTAATAATATGAACAATAAAGATTGATTTAAAAAAATAAAAAATAAATAAATAAATAAAAAAATAAACTAATATCACAATGACCAAGCCAAAACATGAGTGAGTGACCTTAATCCTCTACATAAAGACCTGCATAAGGTTCTCGGCTCCCTAGCCACAGCCACTCTGGAGTCGGTTGTACAGGAAAGGTAAGGGGGTCACTATGATTGGAACGGGGAGTCAGACACTTCTTTTCCATGCCTCTTTGAACAAGTAATTTGATCATTATGTAAGCAACCAACAGAGGCATACCTGCCCCATTTCTTTTTTTTAATTGATTTCAGAGAGGAAGGGAGAGGGATAGAGATAATGATGAGAGATTAATGGTGAGAGAGAATTACCAATCGGCGGCCTCCCGCACGCCCTCCGCTGGAAATTGAGCCTGCAAGCCCTTGGCCAGAATCGAACCTGATACCCTTCAGCCCGCAGGCCGACGCTCTCTCTCCTGAGCCACACTGGCTAGGGCCACCTGCCCCATTTTTCACTGGACTGCTATGGATCCCGTCTACTACTGGTCTGCATCCTAAATATCCTCCTGCTTCTTTCCCCGTGCCCTTTGGCCAGCCTCCCTAAAGCTTTACTTACCAGGGCAGGACTCGAGGCCCTCCGGGGTGTCAGCAGTCGGTGACCGCCTGTGGCTAGCAGCACCACCGTCAGCCCGGCAGCGGCGTGGAGAAAGAGCCCTCTGATTGCTGTCCCTCTCGGGTCCTGGCCCCACGCGTGGGAACAGAGCCCCCACCGTGTGCGACTAGGAGCTAAAGCACGCTGTTTGCTTTCTTCGTTCCTTCCCAGGTTTGGGTCTCGCTGCGCCAGAATATTTCGTCTAGTTTTGCAAAAGAAACACCTGGAGCAGAAGCAGGTAGAAGACTTTGCAATGATCCCAGCAAAGGAGGCGAAGGATATGCTTTATAAGATGCTCTCAGAAAATTTCATACTGCTCCAGGTAACCAATGGGTAGTAGCCATCAACCAACAGAGCTGGACGAGGGTGAGAGAAACTCCTGAAGCATGCATCCTGAACCCCACGCAAACTCTGTCTCCCGCTCTGAGACAGGAAAAAAAGAAAAGACATAGCAAGCATTTGGAAGATATTTGCGGAGCTTGAACTGACCTAGTAAAAAAAAAAAAAAAAAAATGGCACAGCCAAGAAATCAGTCCACCCTTTCTCCTAGTTCCTGGTCCCTGCGATTTGTCCTTTCCTTGAACTTAAGTTTATTATAGAACACATTCGTCAACATCTACTGAGCTCCACTATGTGCAGAGCCATGTGGTAGACCTGGTAAGGCAATAGAATGGCTTTTGGAATCTGAAAATTCTTCAGATTTTTTCCTTTTACCTAGTTACGTTGAGCAAATTACCCACCGTAATTTTTCCTGTCTATAGAATGGTGACGGATGGTAAGAAAATAAGGTGGTTTGTGGTAAAGATCAAATACAGTCCACCTGGCCCACAAAGGTGCTCAGTAAGTGTTGGTTTATTCTCCCCTCCACTCAGGATGTGCAAATGGGGCAGCTCAATCCTCCTTGAGGCTAAGCATGTCGCAACCACAGGTGGGAATGACTGGGAGGAGGAAAGAGGAGAGGAGACATGGTAGCTGCCGAGGGGACACATGTTTACTTTGCAGTTCTGAACAGTATAATTGCTCTCCTCTTTCTCTCTGTGGACAAGTAGGAAATTCCCAAAACGCCAGACCACGCCCCTTCCAGGACCTTCTATCTGTACACTGTGAACATTCTGTCGGCTGCCCGCATGCTGCTGCACCGGTGCTACAAGGTAATCCCGGACCTCCTTCCGTCCCCCCCACGGAGACCAGTCCTACCCTCACGCCCCCATTAGCCTTTTTACCTGAGCTACTGAAATAGATCTATGTGCGTTTGCTGTCTTCTCTCTCCTCAGAGCATAGCCAACCTGATAGAAAGGAGGCAGTTTGAAACCAAGGAGAACAAGTGAGTAGCAATTTAGTTTAGTAGTTACATTTTTTCAAGGTCAAGGCTTGAGGGGAAATTTCCTATAGAAATGGAAACTAATAGAGACAGTAACCAGTCTAGTCGCATTGAATTGTTGGTCTACCCTCTTCCAATATAATATACTCCCAGTGAAATAATTTTGTAGATTATATTCATGAGAAATGTACAGACTGGCACCAAATATAAAGTGCAGACGAGAGGCAATAAGAGTTTCGGGAGCGAAGTCACATTTCTAAGTTAGTAGAAAACAAGTGGCATTATCCACTTTGACCAGGAACGTGGGGGAGGGTGTGGCATGCCCCAGGGCTGATGGGTAAGTCTCCACAGCCAGGGGACCAGCCTCAGAGCTGTGTGTTTGACAGGCGGCTCCTAGAAAAGTCTCAGAGGGTGGAAGCCATCATAGCGTCCATGCAGGCCACGGGCGCGGAGGAGGCACAGCTGCAGGAAATAGAGGAGATGATCACAGCCCCTGAGCGCCAGCAGATAGAGACTCTAAAGCGTAACGTCAACAAGTAAGCATCCTGCACTTCAAGCCTACGTTGCACATACCTTCCAGGCTAATCCACCTCCCAAGTTGACACAAACAAACCTGAACTCGATCTTTTCCAGCCCAGTTAACAGAATTTAACCTATTTCCCCGAACTGCACTCTGAAGACATCCTCAGTTCTCCTCCCTCACCAAACACTCTTGTTCACCACGGTTGTTGATTTTACTTCAGTTAATGTGCCTCAAATCTGGCCTTCCATCTTGGTCCCCAAGATGAGAGAGACACATGGACTGGTTGCTTCCCACATGCACCCTGACCGGGACTCAAACCTGCCACCTTCTGGTATGTGAGATGATGCTCCACCAGCCAGTGCTAAACTAACTTTTGTGTTTTGTTTTTTTTTTTAATATATTTTATTGATTTTGTACAGAGAGGAAGAGAGAGGGAAACATCGATGAGAGAGGATCATCGATCAGCTGCCTCCTGCACACCCCCTACTGGGGATGTGCCCACAACCCAAGTACATGCCCTTGACCGGAATCGAACCCGGGACCCTTCAGTCCACAGGCCGACGCTCTATCCATTGAGCCAAACCAGTCTCGGCTAACTTTTGTGTTTTGATTTTATAACCTGCAGCTTCTTAAAAATGTTGTTTGTTGACTCTTAGTTGTTTTTTTTTTTAGATTTTTCTATGTATAGGATTATGCCAATCTAAATACCTTTTATTTCTTTTTCTTACCTAATTACCTGGCTAGAACCTGCAGTAAAAGGTTGGATGGATGCCAAAACCGGTTTGGCTCAGTGGATAGAGCGTCAGCCTGCAGACTAAAGGGTCCCAGGTTTGATTCCGCTCAAGGGCTTGTACCTAAGTTGCGGACACATCCTCAGTTGGGGGTGTGCAGGAGGCAGCTGATCAATGTTTCTCTCTCATCGATGTTTCTAGCTCTCCCTTTCCCTTCCTCTCTGTAAAAAATCAATAAAGTATATATTTTTTTAAAAAGGTTGGATGGAAGTGAAAAGCAGACATCCTTATCTTGTTCCTGATCTTAAGGAGAAAGCTTTCAGTCTTGCACTATTGAGTATGATGTTAGCTGTGGGGTTTTCTTAGATTGCTTCATTCATGTCTAAGTTCCCTTCCATTCCTAATCACTACTCAGTCTAGCCTCAGCCACTTTCAGCTTCTATTTTAAAACACACTGGAACCTTCTATGCCTTGAAATGTGCTATTCTTTCTCCTGATTGCAAGTTAGACTTTAACTTCTCCCTGGACAGAGGCTGTAGCTTTTGAATCCTCAGCAGTTTCCACGCCTGGCATTTAAGAGATGCTCAGTAAATGGGAGAAGGATCTATTGGTGCTCCTGCTTTCTACCCATTAATCTCCAGGGTAACCAAGCAATTCTGCATGGCACACCCCGCCCAGCCTCTCACTGTAAATCTGCTGGTAAGTGTTCAGTCGGCAAACGCTGTCCCTTTCTCAGGTTGGATGCCAGCGAGATCCAGGTGGATGAAACGATCTTCTTGCTGGAGTCGTACATAGAGAGCAACATGAAGAGGCAGTGACCCTGAAGAAGTCTCCCCCAGAGACCTGAGGGACGGAAAGGAGAATTAAAGGAGGTGCCCGGGTGCATTCTTTGCAGTGGGATAAACTAGGGATTCTTATACCGAAACCCTCCATCCTGCCTCCCAGAATACACCAGCTTGCTGATCCTGTCTTTGAACCGTCCCTGCATTCTCTCCTCCTTGGCAGGAAAAAGAAACTTAGAGCCAAAACCGGTTTGGCTCAGTGGATAGAGCATTGACCTGCGGACTGAAAGGTCCCAGGTTCGATTCCGGTCAAGGTCATGTACCTTGGTTGCAGGCACATCCCCAGTAGGTGGTGTGCAGGAGGCAGCTGATCGATGTTTCTCTCTCATCGATGTTTCTAACTCTCTATCCCTCTCTTCCTCTCTGTAAAAAATCATTAAAATATATATTAAAAAAAAAAAAAAAAAAAAACTTAGATCTCACCCAGAGTCAGCCCTGTCTGTGTCTAAACATTCCTGGCAATGAAGAAACTTCTTCCTAAGCAGTTCATTACATTTTCAAAAAGCTATACCTATTAACTGGCTGGTGTGTGCTCAGTAGTTGAATCTCGACCCATGAACCAGGAGGTCATGGTTCGATTCCCAGTCAGGGTACATGCTCGGGCTGTGGGCTCAATCCCCAGTAGGAGGCATGCAGGAGGCAGTCCATCAATGATTCACATCATTGATGTTTCCCCTCTCCCTCTCCTTACCTCTCAGAAATCAATAAAAGGAAAGAAGAAAAAAGCTATGCCTGTTCTTTGTTATACTGTAATCTTACACACACACACACAAATGTAGGGAGTATGATATGAAAGACTGCCACCAAGTAGGGGGAAAGTATTTTCAGGGCTAGCAGGTGGATTGGCCCAAGCAATCACTCTTATCTGGGGACAGAAGCCACATCTGCCAGCTCCAAGCTTCTAGCACATGTGAAATTACGCATGTAAAACACTTAGCACAGTACCCGCATGTAGTCAGTACTCAGTCATTGCCTTCCTCCTCATGGCTTCTTAAAAGCAAGCCTGCTGTCTGGGCACGTGATTAACATGGTTGATGTAGCCGAGACCGGTTTGGCTCAATGGATAGAGCGTCGGCTTGGGGACTGAAGAGTCCGGGGTTCGATTCCGGTCAAGGGCATGTATCTTGGTTGCGGGCATATCCCCGGTGGGGGGTGTGCAGGAGGCAGCTGATCGATGACTCTCTCTCATCGATGTTTCTAACTATCTCTCTCCCTTCCTCTCTGTACAAAATCAATAAAATATATTTTAAAAAAAACAACAAAAAAACATGGTTGATGTAGTTTGTCAGAGCAGCTTCCGGCATTTAAAGCAGTCAGGTTTTGTTTTATAATCTCTTCAGTTTCCTCTTACCATTCAATAAGCATTTAAGTGCCAATTAATTGCTAGCCATTATACCGGATATAATCTACAAAGATAAGATACCATCTCCGCCTCAGGCTGCTCACCAGCGGTTCACTGAGCACCTGTTACAAACCGGTACTAGGCCAGACCTTGGGGGACAAGGACAACTATGCCTTCTGCCTTCGCCCACAGCCTCGTGGGAGGAAGCAAAGAAGTAGGGGAGGGGGGCGGCTATGATGGGAAGTTTTGTGTACAGAGAAGCCATGGGGGAAGGCCATACATAGGGCCTGAGTCTTGATCTGGAGGAGGATTTGCCAGATGGAAGGGGAAGAACCCCAGAGGGAAGCAGAGCCTGGTTCTGGGGGAACTGCAAACAGGATATGACCAGAAAGGATTAGGAGTGCTGCCAGAACTGAGGCAAAAGGAAGGGGGTGGGGATCCGTATGTGGTTAGGAGACGTGTAGTGAATGAGGCAATACCTGTGTAACAGGTGGGGAAGGGGCTTGTGGCTGGTTGGGAGGGGACGTTGAAATCATTGGGGTTGGTGGGGGCGGGGCCGGGGTCACCGTCCTAAACAGAGCTGGGGAGAAGAGCTGAAGATCTGGAGGTGATCTCCTTCGTTATTTATTAACGCTCCACCCATGGATCTTCCCCAAATGTGTTGCCTAACATTTCCTGGGAGCGTTCTGGCTTCTGACCACGCGGGCCGGCGGGCGCCGCTCGGCCAGCAGGGGGCGCCGGCGGGCGGTGACCCGGCCGCGATGGCGGAGGCGCGCGTGCTGCTGCTGCTGTCGGGGCGCCCGCGGCCGGCGGGCTTCGCGCAGAGCGTGTGCGGCCTCCTGGGCGGCGGGGCCGGCGGGCCGTGGCCCGCGCACTGCGGCCTGCGGCGCGGGCAGCTGCTGCTCTCGGCCGAGCCCTTCCCCGGCGCCACGGCCAGGCTCCCGCTCCAGGTGGGGGCTCCCGGGCCGGGAAGGCGGGCGGGGGGCGCGGGTGCAGGGGGGCCGGCCGGCCGGGCGCCCCGCTGTGAACCCGGACCCACTGGCTCCCTCCGCAGCGCCCCGCCTTCTGCCCCTTCGCGGCCTTGGACCGGCAGCCCGCGCCGCCGGGAGCCGCGCTGCCCGCGGACCGGGGCGTGGACCTGGCCGTGGCCGTCGTCCTGCAGTCCAGCGACCAGGCCGTCTTGTTGACACGAAGGACACGCACCCTCCGAGTCTCCCCCAACCTCTGGGTGCCCCCAGGTGAGCGCCCGAGGACGAGGTCCGGTCCCCAGAACAAACGTGCTCCATCCAGCATGCTGTTCCTGGGAGCCGGAAGGCCGGGAAGGGGCCTGGCCCACCCTCAGGGGCTCCCCTGCACCCGCGCCCCCTGCCCCCGCACCCTCTGTCCCTGTGCCCCCTGCACCCGTGCGCCCTGCCCCCGCGCCCCCTGCCCCTGTGCCCCCTGCCTCCGCACCCTCTGTCCCTGTGCCCTCTGCACCCGTGCCCCGTCCCTGTGCCCCCTGCACCCGCACCCCCTGCACCCGCGCCCTCTGCACCTGTGCCCCCTGCACCCGCACCCTCTGTCCCTGTGCCCCCTGCACCCATGCCCCCTGCACCTGCGCCCCCTGTCCCTGTGCCCCCATGCCCCCCGCACCGCAGCGTGGACAGTGATGGGGTCCGGCCAGGGACACGCACTCACCTGGCCTCTGTCGTTGCAGGTGGGCACGTGGAACCTGGTGAAGCGGTAACCATTGGGCGACCCACCCTGCACCCCGCCCTGAGCCGGGAGGCCGATCTGGGGCCAGGGCCCACGGGTCAGGCGTCTGACCCGGCCTCTCTCTGCAGCTGCTGGACGCAGGCCTCCGCGAGCTTTGGGAAGAGAGTGGCCTGCAGCTGCCCCGGGACCAGTTCTCGTGGGTCCCCCTGGGCTTATGGGAGGTGAGATGGGACCTCTCTGTGTAACCTGGAACCTCAACCCCTCCCCCCACCGGACCCCGGGAACAGCCTTGCCTGCCTTCGGAGAGGGGGTGGCCTCACCGTGTCCCGCCTGCACCATCTCTTCCGGCCACTCCCTCAGCTGTACTCCCCAAGTCTCCAGAAGAGATAGGAAGTGCTCATTTTTGCCATTTTCTTCCTAGTCCGCCTACCCTCCTAGGCTGAGCTGGGGTCCCCCCAGATACCACCACATCGTGCTCTACCTCCTGGTGGTCTCCCGGGAGACACAGCAGCAGCTGCAGGTAGGGCTGGCGGGGAGGAGGGGACGGGCTCAGGCCTGGCAGCTGGCCTCACTGTGACTAGGGGGTGCGGGGGGCCGTCCTCCAGCCCCCAAGCTCCTCTCCATCCAGCAGTGGGTAGGTTGTGAGCAGAGCAGGCTCCTGACAGAGGCCAGGGTGAAGGGATCACATGTCTGACCCAGGCCCGGATCCAGCCAAACCCCAGCGAGGTGAGCGCAGTCCTGTGGCTGGGCCCGGACGCAGCCGCGGCGGTGGCCGTCTCCGAGGACGGGACGGAGGCGCCCAGACAGCTCTCCCAGGACCTGCCACCCTCCGTCCTGTGAGTAAGAGCCGCTCCCTGGCCCTCCGGCACACCAACACGTCCACATTGGAAAACAGTTTCTGTTTCCTGGGGGCGAGGGGAACTTGGGTGATGGAGAGATTTGGGGGTGAGCTGGTCAGCTGACAACGAAGAGAACAGAGATCAGACACCGTCCTTCCAACACCAAGGGTTCCTACTGACTGGCTAGCCCCATCACCTGGGTGTGTGCCCCACTCTCCACTGGGGCACCCTCTAACCCTCCCTGTAGAATGAGGTAAACACCCCACCCCTCTGCAGCGTGGTCGGGAGGGTGTGGCTATGGTGTGGCTAAGCCAGAGTCACACATGAGCCATCGTCGTCGTGCAGTGCCCTGGAACTGGACGAGGGCGGAGAGGCCCGGCCTCTGGCCCTGCCCATGTCCACACTGCTGCAGGCCACCCCGGCCACCGCGGACGGCACAGAGAGGGTCAGCACTGGGACCAAGTTCGCCCTCAGGCTCTGGCTGCAGCACCTGGGCAGGTGAGAGCGCGTCCCCGGGACTGGGCTGAGGGTACGGGGGCACGGGGGGGGGGGGGGGGGGGGCATGGACAGGGGAATAGAGAAAGGAAAAACAACTGCTCTTGGGAATCCTCAGAGTGACGCCCCTGCCATGGGGCACGGGAGCTCCTGTGGACCCCGGGCCTGCAAAGGAAGAACGGCACATGGACCCCCTTCCCCCAGGCCAGGCATCTGGAAAGCCAAGTGCATAACCCCCTCCCCGCCCACCTCTATGACACAGAAGATGCATAGTTTTATCTTTATTATGGGTAAGAACTTTGCTACAACTTTGGGAATACAAAGTAAAATTACAACAGAGGCCAAGGCCCTGGAGGAGGTGGCAGGGGAGACGGGACAGCACGCGGGTCCTCCCCCCAGGAAGGTGCAGTCAGCCGGCCTCACCACGGGGCTCTGGCGGCTCGGCCCCGGGCTGGTCGGTAAGGAACACTGTGAACTTAAATACATAAATAGAGAGCGAGCCCCGGGCCCGGGCCTGGCCTGCTCCGCTCCCACTCCTGGGCATCAGGGCTAAGGCCGTCTCCTCCGGAGAGGGACTGGGAAGGAGGAGGGGAGTCATCTTTGGATGTATTTTGGTTTTCCTTGTTTATGTACAAAAAATCTACCACCCAAAATAGAGTTCTCTGTCCATGTGTCTGTCTGTCTGAGTTTCTCCACCTGTCCGTTTGGCCACAGAGAATGGAGGGACATGAAGAGACAGTGGCTCCGGGGACGGCACTGAGCCGTGGTTTGGGGACTGGGAAGAGAGGGCGTCGGGGACAGCAGAGCACCCTTCCCCAAGAGCGGAGATAGTCAAGGCTGAAAGTTCAACTCTTCCTGCAACTCCCATCCATCCCATTTGCCTCCCGCTGCCTTCGCTGACATACCCAAAGGAATATGCCAGCCTTCTCAAGAACACTTCAAAAAGCAGGACCCAAAAGTCCTTTAAAAGGTTAAATATTAACCCTTTGGACGCTGGCCTTGTCGGAGAGAAATGAGGCCAAAACTAGTGTCTGTGAAGGTCTTTCTTGCCTGTGGCCAACCCCCCTGCGGGCAGCGTGGCCAGGGCTCTGGACTCCACAGCATCCTCGCTCATGTTGGGAGACAGTGAAGGTTCCATAATCCAGGGGAGTCAGTCCAGGGAAATGATGTCTGACCTGCAGCCAGTCAGAGAGGGACCTGGGGGCAGGGGTCCGCCGTGCCCCTCCCTCAAGGCCCCCCCAGGAGCCACAATGCTGCTGACGCGGCCAGGAGGGGGCGCTGGCGTGGTGCTGCGGTGCGAGCTCCCCAGAGCGGGGGCCAGGGGGCCCAGGAAGTGGGACGGGGTCGCCCGGTACTGGAAGAAATGGCCCAGGGCGTCCTGCTCGTCTAGCGAGGTGATGACGGAGGGGCCGTAGTGCTGGGGAGTCAAGGGCACAGTGTGAGGTTTACCCGTTCCTCACCCGCCCCCCCTGGCTCACCTCGGAAACATCCTGGGCTAAAGCAGCCCTCTGGGCCCCGATTCTGATGCTTTCCCTGCTTTCCCACACCCACCCGACGCCCTGCCGGGTGGCGATTTCCGTGGCCCTGTGGGTGTCTGAAGTGTGGGATGTGGGGAGGAGGCAGGCGTGGTGCTCAGTGCACACGGGCAGAGGGTGAGCAGGCGAGGGGCGGGCTACACTGAAATCTCTGGATCAGGACAGCAATGGGACCAAGGAAGACGTAGTGAGAATCTGAGGAAGTGCTAGTGCGGCCTCAGAGGGAAATAAACCACCTGCTCCACCCCCTCTTCTCTCTCAGAGAAGCCGGTGTGGGTCCGAGGGTCAGTGAGAGAGCAGGGTACCCACTGGTGCCCAGCAAGGAAGCTCAGGGATCTGAGACCTGCATAGGAGAAAGGGTCACTTACCTGACTCTCAGTCTGAAGGAAAGAAAATATATCTAAACCTGGAAAGGAATGAATTGAAATCAGCTTCCTGTCTAACCCCTTCACCGCAAACGACGACGAGGAGTCCCCTGGATCTGGCCTTTGCAGAGACCAGGGAACTCTGACGAGGAGCAGGGCTCGGACTGGTTCCGGGCGGATGGGACAGGGAAGGCCCCACTCGGTGGGCATCTTACCTTGGATGTCCGCCCCCAGGGGGAAGGCAGGCTGGTACTCGTGCAGCGGGAGGCTGGACAGGAACTCGCTGCCCAGCGCGCCCAGCGCAGGGCTCCGCAGCACGGACGACGGCTGGTGGCCGGATGCCAGCACCCTGTGAGGAGACAAGGAGCTGGGGCAGCCGGCAGACCACAGCTGCCCTCGCCCGGCTCGGCCTCCGGTCCCCTCTGCACCAGGCTTTGCCCAGTGACCAGAAAGCTCTCCTGGCTTTCCCCTGGTCCTTCTGCAGGAGATTCAGACCATTTCCTCATACCCTTTGCTTCCGGGGAGAGCCGGGATGGCGGCGGAGGTGACAGGACAGTGCTTCTTGGTGGGCGGCAGGTCCTCCTCATCCGACGAGCTTTCTATTGTCAGGTCAATGACCTCGACCTTCTTCTTACTCTCTGATGGAGTGCCCTCTGGGACTGGGCTGTACGGGGGGCCTGCGGGTGAGAAGGAGACTGTGTCTCAGAGAAGAGGCCACTCAAGACGTAGCTCAGCTGGGGGACGGGAGGTCACTCACCATCCAGCCCATACCCTGGCGGGGGGCAAACCTCAGATGCCTCCTTCTTGGGTTTCAATGGGCACCAGGATCCATCTTCCATGAACTGGATCTCATCACAATCCGAACAGGAATTAAGAATCTCCATGAATAAACTGGGGGAGGGAAAGAAGGGGATTCATGGGACTGGGAGATGGCAGGGGCAGTAGCCAGGAAATTTTGCTACTCAGCACCTGAACCTCAATTTCCGCATTTGTAAAACAGGGATATCATCCACCCCACTGAACTGAGTTGTGAGAACCAGTGTGTATGGAAACGAGCTCTGCAAACAGTTTCAAAATAAGTGTCTCCCAATCACCTATCACATGCAGTGCCAGGGACAGAACGAGGAGCAGAGAGAACTCGCGCACCACCTTGAAAAGGGAGCGAGAGCCATGACGTCGGTCCGGAAGAGGCCAGAGAACAGCAGGCCAGCATTTCCAGGCCCTCAGAACTCCTGCTGGCTCCTGAGAGGTCAGGTCATAGCGCTATACTAGTTCACTGTGGGGGCTCTGCCACTCACTAACAATGTGACTTTGGGCAAAACATCCCTCTCCAGGCCCCGGTTCCTCTCCTGTATGGATGGCACCTCTGTGCAGACTGCTCAGCGCCATGCCTAGCATGTAAAAGTCCTCAATGGTGGGAATATGTAGGTAGTATAAAAGGGGATAGAGTACATATATGTATGCGCATGTATACACACGTGCCTATATGTGAGAGTGAGAGCATCCCAGTGCTGTCCTGGGAAAGGACAAAGCAGAGAGCAGAGGGGCCTACCCGTCAATGATGAGGGACTCATAGGGAGCCTTCTTGTCGCACACGGGACACGTCCACGTCGGCTTCTTCTCGTTCATCTGCAGGTACAGGGCGGCGTCGAAGCTCTGCAGGTGGGCGCAGGTGAGGGCGCGACAAGGCACAGTCAGCCGCATCTTCCCGAGCTGCGGGGAGAGTTCTCTGGTCAGAGCCCGAGCAGCCGCCTCTGTGCAGAGGTTAACCCCGCCCCCACCCCCTCTTCTCCCTCATACCCACCGGGCACATGAGTGACACCCGGAGACTCGTAGTGGCCACCTCACTGTCCGGGTCAGCGGTCAGCTTCTCCTTGACTGAAACAAGAGCGAAGCCAGAGCCATGGGCCAGCAGCCGGAGAGGAAGCTGGCAGGGGTGAGGCCGGAGCAGATGGCGCTGGCCGAGAGGCAGCTGGGAAGTGGGCCTTGGGGGGCCAGCGGGCTGTCACCTGGGGGTCTGGGATCTGGATTAGGAAGGCTGTGTGGGGGAGTGTGTGAATGGGGAGATTCCCCGATCTCTGAAGATCTTAAATACAGCTGTGACACTCTGGCAGAGATGACCTAGAGGGAACTGAAGCATCGGAGAGGGTGAGAGTAGATGATCCTTAAGACCCTGTCCAGGTGGGAGAACCCATTTCCGGTAGAGCCAGAGTTAGGGAACGGGTGCCTGGAAGTGGTCCGGCTTCTCCACCAATACCATCGGTGAGGGTGAGGGGAGGGCTGAGGTTAACGTGAGAGGCGAGGTAAATTGTCATGGAGGAGTCTGGGTTTGATTCCAAAGGCCGGAGGGCCAGGAAGACATGGATCGGGATGAGAGAGGGAAGAGGGGCAGGATGCTACTCACTCAGGGCCCGGGAGTGGTCTGGGTTCCGGATGCCCTTTGCTCTGAGCTTTTGGAGAAGGGTCCCTGCCGTCAGCTGCCTCACCAGGTACACGGACAAGGAGTAATTCTACTTGGAAGGGGGAGACAGTTAGCCTCTGCCCTGACACCACCCTCTACCCTTTGTCCCAGGAGGACCAGACAGCAGAAAGACCCACAGAGGAAGATGCTTCCCAAACCTTCCTCCCCACTCCCTGGCTTCTCCGTCCTCCCTGACTCAGCCGTGCTCACCCGTCCAAACTCAGATGACCAGTTGACCACGATGGTGTTGGGAACAGTGGCCGAGAGTCGAGCCAGGGGTGTGATGTTGATGGGGCGGCTGGGCCTCTTGGGCTCAGCCCCATTCTTGGTAGGAGGAAGGTAGCCCTGGAGAAGGGATAGACTGGTCACATCTGGTCTCGGGTTACTCACTCCCTGGAGGGAAGGCCAGCTCATTGGCCAAGGAGATGGGGCCACTCAGTGACGGGAGCGCTAGCATTGTGTCTGGAATTCATTCCTAGGTGAAGGGGAGAGCTTATTCATGGGCCAACAAAACAGGAACCCACTCACGGAGTTCCAGGGGAGGAAGCATAGAGGGATGCCCCATTTGGTCCAACTCTCAGCTCTAGAGTCATCACCTCTGAGAAGCCTTCCCTGAACATTTGGGTTGAACTAACATCTGGATTCTGACAGAACCCTTGTTCAGCCCTATCTTAGTATTCTCTGTATTATATTGATTCAACCAGTTAACTGAGTGCCTTCTGTGTGCCAGGCACTGTGCTACACATGTCTCTTTCAGAACAGGTTTAGGAACAGAACAGGTTTAGTGAACATTTAGGAACTGAAACAAAAGGGGTTACTGCCAGAAGGAAGAGTATTTACCGGCAGGGGGCACAGTTTCCCATTGACCTTGACAAAGAGGTTGGGGGGGAAATAATCCTCCTGGGGGCAGCTGGTCTCACAGAGACAGAACCTAGGACGAGGTGAGAGAAGAGAAAAAGAATGGGGTTCAGTTTCTTGAGCTGAATCCCCAGCATAAAACAAGAGTCCCAGGGCTGCAGAGTATGTGCCATACCCTTTCTTCCTCCCCACCCCAAAGGCAGCCCCGGGGTGGGGGTGGGGGAGCCAGGGGGATCAGCTCACCTGAGCTGCACCTGGGTGGTATAATCGCATTTGGCTCCCGGCAGGACCTCTCTGTCACAGGGAGGGAGAGGGGTCAGTGTGCGGCCCCAGAGGGCAGGGGTGAAGGGACAGACACAGACAATTAGGACGAGGGGGAGAGCAAAGAGACATACAAGAGGAGAGACAAGGCAGGCTCAAGGGGATGGGCAGGGAGAGCGGGGCCAAGAAGGAAGACAGAGGCCAGGGGTAACGCCCGGGTGGGGTGAGAGCACTGGAGAGCTGTACCTGGACGTGAGGATCTGCTGCACCTGCTGGGGTGTGAGCGCGAACGTAAAGTGCGCTTCCTCAAACCGCTGGCTGGAGGTGGACGCTGAGGGCAAGAGGGGGCAGTTATTCCCAGGCTGGTGACCCCACAGGACTGAAGCTTAGGAAAGGCCTGGGAGGAGCATGGAGGCCAGGGGGATCGGAGGGGCCACCGAGAGCCGTACCGAGGGTGGTGGGCCGGATGAGCTCCCCGTGGACTTCGTAGAAGGGCAGTGGCTTCATGGTGACGTCGGGGTGCACGGGCTGGGGCAGAGGGGGGTGCATGTCCACTTCCCGCTTGGGGCCCAGCAAGGTGCCAGGGGCCAAGAGGGCCGGGGGGATGGGAGCCAGCGGACCAGAGGAGCCCACGGGAGGGGTGCCGGGGGGCAGAGAGAGCAGAGAGAGATCGGAGGGCGCCAGTGTCTTGCGTGGGAAGCGCCGGCGGTAAAGCTCTTTGATCTTCATCTGGACGCTGGGGGCACAGCTGGACTTGAGCAGGTGCAGGGCCTTGGCCAGCAGCTCGTGCTTCCGTCCACTCTTGTTCCGGCCAGCGAAGCCAAGGAGCACCTGGAGCTCAGACACCCGGAAACTCATCACCATGTGCTGTGGACAACAGAGGAGCCTGAGAATGCTGCCTGGCAGGGGCTGAGCCACTGGGCAGGCAGGGCCTCTTCCCAGCACTGATGGAAAGGAGCTTTTAGCCTGTGGTTCTCTGCCAGACTGCCAACCTGGCCAAAGAGACACTTTAGTTCCACCCTCTCCCGTCAACCTACCCAGGATCCCCAGAGCTTGAGCAACCCTATCTGCCCACGCGGGCGAGCTGACAGGTGGGGGCAGAGTGCGGACTGCAAGCCAGCCGCTGGCACACCTCTGAGCCCACTGCCACCTCCTACCTCCATCCTGCCTGCAGCCTGGGCTCTCCTTCAAGCTGCTTCCTTCCCCTCCTGCTCTTTCTCAGACCCTTACACCCAGCCCAGCCTCCGGGAAGAGGACAGGGGACGGGGAAGAGGGGAAGAGGGGGAAGAGGGGTTTCCCATGGCCAGACAGCCCACAGGGGAGAAGGGCCAGGCAGCTGGAGGCTTCCCCCTCAGCTGTTTTCCCCAAGCCAGGGTTTTCAGGTCAGGTTCAGTCCTCACAACTCCCCCGAAACCCTTCCTCAGTGCCATTTACATAACCACCTCCCTTTCGGAGGAAAACAAGACCAAAACTGGGGGCGAGGCGGTTGGGTGTGACTGTCTAGGAGGAGACCCTGCCGTGGGCAGGCCTTGCTAGCTGGCCCTCCACACTCCTCCCGCACAGGAGGCCTCTGGCTCCGGCCCTTTCGAGGGCCACCGCTCGGCCATCCTGGTCTCCTCGGCCTGTGTTCCCCACGGACCTCAGCACGAACCCGCCTTTCTATCCCGGAGTGTACCTCCTCCGCCTCGGCCCGAAGGCCACGCACAGGAGCGGGACCAGCCTCTCGGGCACCGGAAGCCTCAACCCCGCCCCCGGGTCAGGGCCGCCGAGAGCCGTCCCCAGGCCCCTTCCCGGGCCAGAGCTCCCCCCTCGCCCCAAGGAGCCTGCGGCCCCAGCCCCGGCCCCACAGTTGCCCCCACGACACGTCGCTGGGCTGCGATCGACGCGCCCTCAGCCTCCCCGACAGCTTCTCCCTCCGGCCATCCCCCTACCTCCGCCTCCACCGCCAAATCCGACTTCCATTCGCGTCCCCGCCCCCGGAGCCCCGGCCTTCCCAGCGGCACCCCGGCGGCCCCACCCCTGCATCTGCCCCGGCCCCGCCCCTGCGCCTGGGGGGGTGGCCCCAGATACACCCCTACATCTGCCCCGCGTCCCCGCCCCCTGCGCCGCGGACCCCAGCTGCACCCCCCCCGTCCCGCCCCCTGCGCCGGGGCCCCCCCAGCAGCGGCCCCGCGCCCCGCCCCCTGCACCTCGGCTTCCCAGATGCACCCCCTCAGCGCCCCCTGCACTACCCCGCGCCCCGCCCCTCTGCTCCCCGCCCCCCCGCGGCCCCCCGCGGCCCCACCCCTGCCTCTGCCCGCAGCCCCGCCCCCGAGCCACGCCGCAGCCTCCGCGCCCACAGCCGGCGCCCAGCGCCCCGGCCCGGGCCCCCGGCGCGCGCCCGCCCGCCGGCCCGCAGGGCCCTTCCCCGCCGCCGTCCCGGCCCCGGCCCCGGGCAGGCGGGCAGCCCGGCACCTTCAGCTCGCCCAGCTCCGCCATCTTGAGGCATCGCGGGCGCGAGCGGGGCCGGCCAGGCCCAGGCACCGGCGCGCGACTCCCCGCCCCGCGCCGGCCGCCGACCGCGGCTGCTCCGCCCCGCCAGGCCCCGCCCATGCCAGGGCCCGCCCACGCCTGACACCGCCCCCTCCGGGCCCCGCCCACGCCAGGCCCCGCCCCGCCAGGCCCGGCCCCGCCCTCGCCTGACGCCGCCCAGCCCGCCGCGCAGGAGGGCCCGGCCGCAGCCCCTCCCACCGGGGACGCGGCCCGCACGCCGGGACCGGGAGGCGCGCTGGGGGGCGCGGGGGGCGCACGGCCCGATGTCGCGGGGTCCCCAGCGGCTCGGGGACGGCGGCCAGGGGCCCGGGAGGGAGGGGGCGGGCGCCGGGCCGGGAGGGATGCGCTCGCGGTCCGGGAAGGATCGGGAACTGCCGGGCCTCGGAGGGGGGAGGGGAGAGCGGAGTTCCCGCAAGTTTAACCGGCGGAATCCAGCGCGGCGCCCCGGGGCGGGTGCCATCCGCCGCGGCGGGGAGCTCCGGGGCCGCGGCTGGGTCGGTCCTCAAGCCCCATCCCCCACCCCTCCCCGAACCCCGCCAACTGCCGCGCACCCGGGTCCGCCCGCAGGACTCCCACTCGGCGGCGGCAAAGTTCGGTGCCGAGCGCGACTTACCGGGCCGGTTTCGGGGAGCGGGGAGGGCGCGGCGAGGGGGGCTGCCGGCGGGGAGGGGGCGCGCGGCGCCTCCCGGCTGCACAGCCAGAGGTCAGTCCCGCCGCCGGACTCTGCGGCCGCGGCTCCGCCCGCGGGAGCTCCGCCCGGCCGGCGCCCGGCCTGGGGCCGCCCTCCCCGGGCCCGCGCGGCGAGGAGGGGAGGGGGCGGGTCTGGGGCGCGGGGGAGGGACCCGGAGCCGGAGACGTTAACTCCTCCGGGGAGCGGGTCTGCAGAGCCACCTGCCCGGATCCCGGCCTTCTGGTTTCTGCTCCGGCCCTGGCGCTGGGTGGGGGCAGGCGGGGACCGAGACCGTGGACCAAGGATCTGGCTGCATAGGAGCTTCCAACTTGCAATGAGACTCTCCCTGGAGGAAAAGCCTGCGCTGCTGGAATCCAAAGCGTACCTAAGGCCTCACTACCTGTGCTCTCCTACCCTGCACCCCACAGACGCCAGAGAACCCACACCTTTGGGACTGCTGAAGGTCAACCGGGGAAGTTTATATATATATATATAGAGAGAGAGAGAGATAGATAGATAGATAGATTTCAGAGAGGAAAGAAGAGGAAGAGATAAGAATCATTGATCGGTTGCCTCCTGCATTCCCCCACTGGGGATTGAGCCCACAACCTGAGCATGTGGCCTTGACTGGAATTGAACCCGGGACCCTTCAGTCCACAGGCCAACGCTCTATCCACTGAGCCAAACCAGCCAGGGCAGAGGAAGTTTTGTGGCCTCCCAGGAAAGACTTCTTCCTGTCTCTCTCTGAACTGCTTACTTTCCTTCTTCCAAAGCCTTGAACTTGGCAGACCCCCCCCATTCTCCACCGAGCTAACCACTCGCATGCAGGTCTCAGGAAAGCACCAACTGGAGGGCAGTTTACCCAAACGAGGTGCCGGCAGCAAACACGGCACTTTATAGTTAGTCGGCTGGGATGATAATGTATTTGGTCGACAAATATTTGAGTGCTGTTCAGAGATTGTGAGTTGCTGAGACTTGAAAGCCTGGCAGTGTAGCAGCAGTGAGTGATAAGGCAGTTAAGCCTATAATCAGCATACAAAACGTGCTTTAATGAATATGAATAATTCTTCTAGCTTAAGCCTCAGTGTATTCCTCCCCCGTGAGACCCCATCCCAGCGTGGGCCTACCAATGTCCCAGGTACCTCCTGTTGGACTGGACCAGGCCCAACTACTTCGTGGATTTTGTCCCTAGGGAAGATGTCCACTTTCATCTGAACTTAGGTTCTTTCCTTGCTTTTTTTTTTTTTTTTTTTAATATATTTTTATTGATTCAGAGAGAAAGGGAGAGAGAGAGAAACATCAAGGATGAGAATCATTTACCAGCTGCCTCTTGCATGCCCCACACTGGGGATCAAGCCCACAACCCAGGTATATGCCCTGACTGGGGATCAAACGGTGACCTCCTGGATCATAAGCTGATGCTCAACCACTGAGCCACACCAGCCAGGCATCCTTGCTTCTTTGCTGCCAGGAATGGTGGGACTTCAAGCTAAACTCAAGTTCCAAGTATTTGGTTCCTAATTCCAACTACTCACGCCAACACTTGAGTCTTCATCAGGCCATAAGCTCATTTCTTGTTCATGCCTCTAGATCAGAACTTACTATGGACTAATTTATATCTTCTAGAATTTTCACTGATCTCAAAAGGAGGCAGCTAGGGATTAAAAAAATAAAAGACAGGTCTAGAGGCAGTCCATGGTCTCTCATTGTTTCTCCCTCCCTTCCTCTCTCTAAAATCAATGGAAAACATCCTCTGGTGAGGATTTTAAAGAAGAGACTGGAAAACTTTGGGAGTGATGGATATGTTCATTACCTTGATTGTGTGATGATTTCATGGGTATATACATATGTCAAAACTTATCAAATTGTACACTGTAATTGTGTGTCAATTATTCCTTGTTAAAGCTGTAAAAATAGAAAAGAAAAAAGTTAACCTCACCTTCATTCCTAGTGATTTCATAAAGGAGGGGTCTCCTTTAATAGTTTATTTGAGCTTATAAATCCTAGCATCTTTACAGTGACAGATCCTCCCTTCTCCCAACTGATGGACAGAGTATGACGTAAACTGCACCTGCGACCTGGACATGCCTGAGCACCTAACCAGGCACCTTGTATGGACTGTACATTGAACCACCAATCAGCACCTGCCACATACCCTAAGCCCCCCCCCCGATTCCTAAATACCTAATCATGTGCCTCATATGAAGCCACCAATCAGCGCGTGCCAAGTACCCTAAGCCCCATTCCTCCCACCCCTCCCCTCAGAAGGCCTGTTCCCCTCTGAACGTGTTGCCACTCCCCCTTGTGGGGCAGGGTCCTTCTCTAATGAAGCCTGTAGTCCTGGTTTTCCGCCCTCTGTCTCATCTTCCATACAGGTCACTAGGAAAGTAGGAGCAGGGCACCTCAATCTGATCCTGCATGCAAGCTCCATGGGTATAAGAACCTTTTGGTGCTTTCACTATCTCGGTGCCTGGTAGGTAGAAGACTCTGTAAATATCAGTATAATAAATGTTACCAGACAAAGGAGGAAACTGCAAATCAGGACCAAGTTCCATATTGAGGGTATTCAAAGACATCTGTGTCGAAGCCGGTTTGGCTCAGTGGTAGAGCGTCGATCTGCTGACTGAAAGGTCGCAGGTTTGATTCCGGTCAAGGGCATGTACATTGGTTGTGGGCACATCCCCAGTAGGTGGTGTGCAGGAAGCAGCTGGTCAATGTTTCTCTCTCATTGAAGTTTCTAGCTCTCACTCTCCCTCTCTGTAAAAAATCAATAAAACATATTTTTTTTAAAAAGACATCTGGGCCCCTTCATGGCCTACCAAGCCCTATCCATAAACTCCATCAGAAAACTGGGGGACGCCGAGGCCGGTTTGGCTCAGTGGTAGAGCGTCGGCCTGTGGACTGAAGGGTTTCGGGTTCGATTCTGGTCAAGGGGATGTACCTTGATTATGGGCACATGTTCAGTAGGGAGTGTGCAGGAGGCAGCTGATCAATGTTTCTCTCTCATCAATGTTTTTTATTATTTCTTTATTGATTAAGGTATTACATATGCCCTTATTCCCCCATTACTCCCTGATGTTTCTCTCTATCCCACTCTCTTCCTCTCTGCAAAAAATATATTTTAAAAACCCACACATACATTATGACCACTCCTATAACTCAGCCATCCTGGGATAAGCTTCTAGGAGCCCCAGAGGGAGCCAGAGGCCTGGCTGCCATTCCCAAAGCTGTTTCCTGACTCATCCTTGAACTTGGTCAAATGATTTCCCCCTCTCTGGACCCCTCTCTCTGCAGTTTCATTTTCCCCACCCACACCCCGTATGTAATAAGACAGGCCATAGTTCTTTTTTGTCCTCTCAGAGCAGGAAGAAGAGGTTCCCCTTAATAGGAACCATTTGGACCTTTTGGATGCTCCTCCTCTTGGCAGTTGCACCGCCTTTTCCCTTTCTACATCAGTCCTGGGTCCGTTCTCCCAGCCGTAAAGCAGTCTGAGCCCATCCACACACGCCCCAAAGCTGACCCCCCACCTTCTCCAGGGCCTCATCTCCTCTGCTCTTTTCCTGGCCAAGCCCCGCAGCCAGAATGCAGCCCCTGTGTGGGCCCCGTCTTCCATGGCGGCCCCTCCCCACTCTTCTCTCAGCCCAGGCAGTCTCTGCTGCCAAACCACTGTAGGCTGACACCCCTCTCCCCCCACCACCCTGCATATTCCAGCAGGGGCTGAGAGAAGGAATGGGGAGGGATCCTTGTGGGGGGCACCAAGCCAACCTTCCAGATTTTGGAGGGCTTCACTGTCTCATTCTCACCTAGCGATTTGGCTACTGGACAAACAGGAAGGAGAGGAGACCATGGAAGTGGCCAAGAGAGGGGCATTTTTTCTCAGTCTGAGAACAGGACAGGGAAGAAGCCAACTCTGCATGTCCCTTCATCCCTCTCCCTGGAATCAGACTTTTCATTCCGCTCTGCTCCCGGGGCAAAGCACACTGACCACATGAGACCATGTGCTTCCGCCTGAACCCACAGTGTAACACGTGATGGAGTGTTTTAGATTATTCATCTCAAAGAAAAGCCACGCCTCTCAAACAGCAGACTCGGGAGTCCCGAGGCAGAACATGAGAGCTGCGCTGGTCAGTCAGACGGATTTGTGAAAGACAAAGCAAGAGAGTCGATCCCTACTTTCACAGAGGGCTGACTTTCACACTGAGTCTTGGCCCATTAGTGGATATATATTTTTTAAAGAATATATATTTTATTGATTTTTTACAGAGAAGAAGAGAGAAGGATGGAGAGCCAGGAACATCGATGAGAGAGAAACATCGACCAGCTGCCTCCTGCACACCCCCCACCGGGGATGTGCCTGCAGCCAATGTACATGCCCTTGACCGGAATCAAACCTGAGACCCTTCAGTCCGCAGACCGACGATTTATCCACTGAGCCAAACCAGTTCGGCTAGTGAATGTCTTTTAACCAGTATTTTTTTCAGTGGAGTATAATAGCAGAGAATAGGCTAGAATAGAAATAGTAAGGAGACATACTATTTTAGGTATGTCCACCCAGGATGTAACATGTATTTCTACCTATGGACCACAAAGTTTAAAAGCTGCTGGCTTATGGAGCCACTTGTGATGAAAAAGATTCCTGTCCCCACCTTAAACAGAAAAACAGTGACAGCCAGTACCATATTGCCCTGCTTTATTTTTACAGAGCTGGCTTCGATCCATATCTCCTCTGGTCTCATCCATGCTGATTCCAGGGTTCCGACTCTCAGGTCTGGGCTCCCTAATGTCAGGCGAAGCTCACCCATACTCTCCCCTAATGGCCAACCCACCACCCACTACAGCCTGATGGAGCCTCTGGCAGCCAGTGGTGCTCTCATTCCCTGCAAGAAGAAGGCCAAGGTGAATGCACGCACTTCCGTAGCCTGTCTCCGCCCGCCCATGCCAACATGCTAAGGGCTCCTCATCGCCCTGGCTGGGGAAGATGGCCACCGGCATAGGGGCGGGGAGACATATGAGAAAAGACTGTTCTTTGTATGCATGGGGTGGGGATGGAGAGATTCTGCCTTTTGTAGAGTCCTACCCTAGGAAACAACTTGGTACCACTCTCCCCCATCACTCATCGTTTACTGATTCTCTCTATCCCAGACGGGAAAAGGTCCACTCCCCTTCTCCGGCTCCATCCCAGGTCAGCCCCTTCAGGCTGCCGCCTCCCAGTGTTGCCCATCGCTGTGACCTCTCGGCGAACCTCACTGTAATGCCCTGTGGCACAGACTCCCCAGGGTCAGCCGCCACTGGGAGCAAAAGGGACTCCAGTTCCCATCCGAAGCCTCTCCCAAGCCCTCTCTCCCAGCGCCTGCCCCCGCGGCCTCAGCCACAGCTCACCGGAGAGGAAGCCCGGCCCCCTCGGGGCCTGCGCCGCCCCGCTTCTCCTGCCGGCTGAGGATCCGCAGCAGGATGTTGTACACGTCTTGTTCCATGTAGCCCTGGGCGTGGCCGGAAAGAAAGAGGGAGAAGAACAGGCCATGGGAGACAGGTGATGGGGAGGCCCTGAGATGTGGTGGAATGCGGTTTACGGACGATGAGCCCTCACTTAAACAGCATTTAACTTTGGGGATGTTTCCTAACCTTTTCAAGGAAAGCAATGATGTTTACTTTTCAGGACTGCTGTGAGGGTTCCGACCCTGAATCTGACGCAAAGCTGCCCTATACAATAAGTGTTCCATCCTTTGTAGCTACTATTCCTATTAGAGGAGCAAGCCCACCCCCACCGCCTCTCCCTTGGTGAGGGAGGAGGGAATTGAGGAAGGGCATAAGGGACAGGGCATAAAGGCTTTACAGTGGGGCAGGAATTGAAAAGGGGGGACAAACACCCCCCTCCCCTCACATTCCCATACCTCAGGACATCCAGAGACCTGGCACTAGAACATCTAACGGAAAAGGGATCCAAATCCCATACTCCCTTCCCTACCCTGTCCCTCCCTCCCCCCGTGCTCACCTGAGCAGCACTCAGCAGATGGTTTCTATAGGTAGCGATGATCTCTTCATGGTTCTTCTGAGAATCCTGGGGGTGAGCATCAATGGGGGTTGAGTGCCCACCCTCCCTACTCACCCCGACCCCCAAGCAGGAGGAACAATGAAACCAAGTGGTCAGCTGGGCCAGAGAGTCTCCCTGGACCCATCACTAGCCCAGCCTGGACCACTTTTGAACAGGTCTCTGCGATTCCCAGAATCCTCCCACTTCCCCTGCCCTCCCTCTTCTCTAGCCGTGACCTTTCCCTCAGGGACCAAACATACCCGCAGCTGCGAGGCCAGGCGCGCATTCTCTCCTCGAACAGCTAGGACCTCCTCTGAGAGCTGCTCCACCTTCTTCAACAACTCCTTGACCTGAGGCCAAAGGGAGCCAGTGAGGCCCAAGTCATGCCCCCCCCCCCACCCAGGGTCAAGGTCAGCTTCCCTTTGCTGAGTCTGCACTATGTGCCAGATGCTTTTACACACCTGTCTCATGCCCTACTCAAAACAGCTCCACTTCTGAAGGGAGTATTATTACTCACATGTTCTTTTTTTATTTTTTTTAATATATTTTATTGATTTTGTACAGAGAGGAAGGGAGAGAGATAGAGAGTTAGAAACATCGATGAGAGAGAGTCATCGATCAGCTGCCTCTTGCACACCCCCTACTGGGGATATGCCCACAACCAAGGTACATGCCCTTGACCGGAATCGAACCCGGGACCCTTCAGTCCCCAAGCTGACGCTCTATCCATTGAGCCAAACCGGTCTCTGCTACTCACATGTTCTTAAATAATTTGTCAAAATCATACAGCTAACAAGTGATGACAAAGTGATGACATATGACTTGAACCAAGATCTTTTTGAATGAATGGTCCGTGCTCTTAAGTCTGCACTGGGTCCTGAACCACTCCTGGCTGCTGACCACTGAGCAAAATGAAGATGAGTGTTTGTGGTTGTGAGGCTACAGCACAAATGTGGTTAAGGATGACCAGCAGTAACAGGAATGGTGGGAGTGAGAATAATAAAAATAACTGATTGGGCACTTATTATTTTCAAAAAATCATTCTGAGTATTTTAAATACAATATCTCATTTAATGTGACCCTCACAACAACCCTTTTATTCGCCTCATCTTATACATGAAAAAAACTGAGACTTGAGATACCAAGTTCAATCAGTAAGTTTTGAGACTGAAATAGAAATCCATCTTACCTAACCTTACCTAATAAAAGCAAAACATGCAAATTAACCACACCCCACTATGCCCACAGCCAATCAGAGTGGTCATGCAAATTATCCTAACAAAGATTGAGGTTAATTTACATATGCAGGCACAGAGCAGAGTGAAGCCTGCTATGAGGGGAAGGGGGGTAGCGGAGGGAGGTACTGGAGTGATGCTCCAGACAGAAGCGAGGATGTGCAGGCTCCAGGCTGCCTGGGAGCGGAGATGTGCTGGCTTCTGGGCAGCTGGGAATGAAGCCTATTCTTCAAATACCGTGCAATGGGCCTCTAGTAATGTATATAAAGTGCTTAGTGTAGGGCAGTGCCTGGGGGGAAGGGGGCAGATAGAAATCCAGACAATATCAGTCCAACATCCACTACACTATTTTCTTTTACCCAGTTGCTCTCTTTCCTCTTCTCCTTCCACATCAACAGAAACCTGTCCTTTCTTTAATTGGCCCCATCCCACACCGATTCCTCTTCTGTGTAACCTTTCTTCTATTTTTATGCACTGTGTATTATGTAAGGCGTATGCTCCCTATATTTTTGAATCCTTATAAATTTGATCATGTACATAAATTTGAATAAGAAGTCTGAATTAATTTCACAGATAAAGTTCTAGAATTAATACTTCATTTATAAGTTAATTTAAAAAATTAGAATTCATAAAACATGCCCCTAGACACATGCAGACTTAGAGCAATCATTAGGAAACTCAGGGGCCAAACACGGGGGTTTTCAAACGTTTTACTCTGCATTGGCGCTCTAGGGCCATGGAAATCCTTCACAGAACCTGCTCGGATGGACGGGGAGGGATGCAGTGGGCCTGTAGCCTAGTCTGCTTCTCTTAATCAGCCTGGACTCAGCTTCTCAGAACCTAGCAAAGCCACAGCAACCACCATAGCATCAGACCGCTCTCAGGCTAAGATATGATTGAAGTCAAAATGCTAATAAGCCATACTGCTCCACAGGTTGGAGCCCGCCACGTTGTTTCTAAACCAGAGTCCAGATTTTAACACCTAAGCCCCTTTCTCTCTCCTATTTATATATTTGATCTTAGAGAGGAAGGGAGAGAGAGAGAGAGAAACATCAATGATGAGAGAGAATCATTGACCGGCTGCCTCCTGCACGCTCCACACTGGGGATCTAGCCCACAACCCCTGCACATGGCCCGACTGGGAATCAAACCTGACCTCCTGGTCCATAGGTAGATGCCCAACCACTGAGCCACACTGCCAACCCTCACCCCCATCTCAACCCCAAACCACCTTAGACCCAGAGAACACAGTGTGACCCTTGCAAACGGTTGGCGTTCTTTTGGGGAGGGACTCCTCTGGCTAACCAAAGGCAGATGCAGCTAGCAAGCCTTCCCCGCCGCCGCCGCATCTCATCACCTTGGCCTCCTTGTCCTGGCACGCCCCGACGAGATGCTCCATCTTCTCTCTCAGCAGCCCCACCGTCTGCTCGAACTGCTCCTGGCACCCGCGCGCCTCGCCGGCCTGGCGCTCCGGCTCCGGGGCCCGGGCCGCCGGGTCCCCGCCGCGGCAGCCGGCCTGGCGGCAGGCGGCGCTGCACTGGTCCAGCAGCGCCCGCAGCTCCTGGCCGCACGCCTGCGCCTGGGCCGCCTGCGAGCTGCGCGCCCGCTCCTGCTGCCGCAGGCTGGCCGCCTCCCGCGCGCGCAGCTCGGCCACCTCCTCCGTGGCCTGGTACAGCAGCTGCTTCAGCTTCCCGATCTCCTGGCTCTTCCCGCGCATCGAGGCCTGCACGGCGCGCAGCTCCGCCTCCAGCTGCCCCAGGTCCTGCTCCAGCGCCGCCACTTCGGGGGCAGCCGGCCCCTTGGCGGAGGTGCCGGGCTCCGGGTGCGAGGCGGGGGCTCCCCGCAGCCGCTGGTTGTCCTCCTCCAGCCGCGCCAGCACCTGCTGGGCCTCGCGGTGCCGGGCCACCAGGGCGCTGATGCAGGCCTGCAGCTCCTGCAGGGGCTCGGGGCCGGCGCCGCGGGCACTGGCCTTGCTTACCAGGTCTGGGGGCAGGCAGTCCCACAGGCCGCGGAGGCCGCTGCTCTGCGACGCCAGGTGCCTGCGCAGCTTCTCGGTGGCCTCCTTCTCCAGGGCCAGCTCGTCCGTCAGCAGCCCCACGCTCCTCCGCAGCTGCTGCAGCTGGACCTGCGCCACCGGCCGGGGCACGAACTCCCGCTGCAGCCGCTGGCTCAGGCACTGCAGCTCCCCTTGCAGCCGCTGCCGCTCCCGACCCAGCTCCCCCAGCTCCTCCATCAAGCTGCTGTTGCTCAGTCTCAGGGCCGACACCTCCTTCTCCAGCGTGCCCTTGACCAGCCCTGCCCCGGGCGGCTGCAGCCTGCCAGGGGTCCCCGCAGACTCCGGCTGGGTCCCAGGAGCCCCTGTCTCCTTCTCTCCACACTCTTCCGTGATGGCTTCTGAGCCTGCCTTTGGGGCGCCCCCTCTGGACTCCTGGGCAGGGGTCCCAGGTGTCGCCTGCAGCCCCGCCTTGGCCCGATCCAGCTTCAGCAGCACCTGCTCCAGCCTGGCCTCCATCTTCTCCCAGGCAGCCGCCGTGGCCTCAGCCCGGGACGCCCCCAGAACTCGCTCCAGGACCGGCCTTGACAAAGCCCCCAGGGCGGCATCCTTTTCCCGCCACACGGCAGCCAGCTCCTCCCTCAGCTGGAGCAGCAGCTGGTTCACTGCTGCCGTGCCCACTGCTTCAGCCCCTGTGTCTGCCCTCTCCGCCCCCGGGGCCTTCGGCCGCTCCTTCTGGCCGGCCTGCGGCTGGTCTGCATGCTCGGGGCCGAGGGCCTGCCCATCGCCAGGCGCCGGGTGCTGTCCTGTGGCTTCCCCCGGAATCCCAGACGTTGGGCCCTGGGGTGGCCCCCGTTGTGGTTGGGACCTGCCATGGGCTTCATAGTATGTCTCCCGGGGGGATGAATCCTCAGGCTTCTTGGGAGCTGATCCTGGGCTGGCTGCGGCTGCGGCTGCGGCTGCGGCTGCGGCTGCGGCTGTGGCTGCGGCTTCGGCCACTGCCCGCTGCTGCTTCTTTAGCTCTCGGACGCCCTCAGCCAGCAAGTCCAGCGGGGAGGCCTGCTCCATGCCATCCCCTCCAGGACGGACACTGGGACTCGGCCCGTCGGGAGCTCTGGGCTCCTGGAAGAGCAGTAGCCCCAGCTCCTGCACCTGCTCTCGGATCTGGTTCGCCAGGCCCAGGTAGGCTGCGGCTTGATCCTCGCACGCTTCTGTCTTTCGCACCAGCTCCTGCTCCAACTGAGACACCTTCTTCTGCTCCTCTTCATACTTCCGCCTCCACTCCTCCGGGCACGCGTCCTCATGCTCCCCTTTCTGCTCCGCCGCAGGCTCTGCTCCCCCAGGGCTCCGGGGCAGAGAGCCCACCGGAGGCTCAGACGGAGAGGCCTGTGAAGCAAACAGAGGAGTGACGGGAGGCCAGGCAGCTATCCCAGCCCCGGAGGGCTTCCCCGCGCTTAGACCATTTTGCCGCCCCCATGGGCACCGCCTGGGAGGTGTCCGGTGGGATGGCCTGGGTGGGTCGGAAGGGGAGGTGCTTAGGGTCTTACCTTAGACACAGCATCTGGGTGTGGAACCAGCCCCTGACCTAGATGAAAAGACACGAGGAGAATGTGACCCTCCCTGAGAGGATGGCCCTCGGGGTCATAACCCTCACCACCAGTCTTCCTGCAGCGGGGAGCCACTCCTGTTCAGCTCAGCAGCCTCGGCTCCCTACCCCAGCTCACTCATCCTGCTCTCTCGCTTTATCAGACACTCTACCCGGCGCTGCTACAGGCACCGGACATCGATGGTGACAAAACAGACATGGCCTGTCATCTGCAGGGTTCAGAGTCCAGCAGGGGGAGATTGGCTGGGAACTCACACAGAGATGTTCAATCACAGCTTAGAAGTCCTGCCGAGAGCGCCAGCCCCCGCTGCCTTGAGTAAGACGGGGCTTCATTAAAGACCTTGGCGGCCCTGCTTTTGGGAACTCGGGGTCATCTCATAGCAGCAGCAAGAAATAAGCAAATCCTGGACTACGGTGGCAATTATCGGTCAGGTAGGTTATTTCCACGGGGACAATGGGTTCTCTGAAGCTTCTCTGAGCTCTTGGGGAGGATCTTGCAGTCGCACAGGGACTGGCTCACCTCCCCGCCGCCAGCTCAGGGCCCTCTGCACCAGCTTGCGCAGCGCCTTGTCCTGTGAGCACTGGCAGTAGTACATGGCGTCGTGGCCCGCGTGGTCCACCATCCCCACGTCTGCCCCGTGGCTCAGGAGCAGCTCCGCCACCTCGGCGCTGCCTTTCTCACAGGCCATGATCAGAGCCGACCTGTGGGTTAGGACAGATATATACATATACACACACACACACACACACACACACACATATACACACACACATATATATACATATGCGTGCGCACACACATACATACACATATACACACATACGCGTACATATACATATACACACATATACACACATATACACACATACACATACATATACATATACATACTTTTTTTTTCCCCGAGAGGAAGAGAGAGGGAAAGATAGAAACGTCAATGATCAGATTCATCAATAGGCTGCCTCCCGCACACCCCGCACTGGGGATTGAGCCCACAACCTCCTGGTTCATAGGTCAACATTCAACCACTGAGCTATGCCAGCCGGGCCAAACCAGAACTTTTCACATGCCATTCCTGGAGCTGCAGCATCAGAAAGCAGGGGCTGATGGCTTCATTTTTCTCTGCTTTGCATATTAAGATTCTGCATAAATTCTTTATTAGAGAGAAGGATTCCATTGCTCAGAAGATAGTTTGAAAACCAGTCAATTAAACTAATGAGTCCAGAGGTATTGATTCTACTTCCCAAGTTATCTCCATTAGGAAGATGGTGAGGAAGCACTGAGTGGGAGCGGGAGGAAAACATGCTTCCCGTCTCTAGGAGAACAGTGACCTCTTCTAAGCCACCGCTCAGAAAGAGACCAAGAACACAGAGGCCAACCCGCCCCCCCCCCGTATACATACATGACCCCCCCACACATACATGCACACACACACACACACACACACACACACCCTCTTTGCCCAGTGGCTCCTTCCTAGAGCGGCCAGGGCCTGGATGGGGAGGGAAGACGGGGAGGGCTCACTTGTCATCCTTGTCCGTGACATTGACCCGGGCGCCCCTCTGCAGCAGCTGTGAGCAGATAGCTGCGTGCCCGCCCAGCGAGGCGATCATTAGGGGTGTGCGTCCGTCCTGCGTGGATGTGGAAAGGGAGTTCCTGAGACAATCCCACCAGCTCCCTCTCCCCACACCTTTCCAGGAAAAAGCCCAGTCCGAGGGCTGAATATCCTTTCGCAGGGTTAAAAGCTCTCCAGAAGATAAGGCTTAACCTCTCTGGGAGGAGGAGGAGGAGGAGGAGGAAGAGGAGGAGAAGGAGGAGGAGGAGGAGGAGGAGGAGGAGGAGGAGGGGGAGGAGGAAGAGGAGGAGGAGGAGGAGGGGGAAAAGGTAGAGCTGTGCAACCCCTGCTCACAGAAGTGAGCCAATCCAGCTCAGAGAGCGGCAGCCTGCAGGGCCCTGGCAGAGTCCCACAGACACTCACGTTATCCAGCACATCCAGGAAGGCTTCATGGTCACACAGCAGCAGCACACTCGAGGCACAGCCCGAGGAAGCTGGGGGGGGGGGTGTGATTGGGTGAAGGGGAGCAGGAAGGGTGCCTAGTCAGATCGACACCCAACAGCCCCTCCAACTATCTTAGTAAACAGCCCTGCCCTCTCCACCAAATGTAATCCTCCCCTCTCCCGCCCCTTCCTTCCCTGCTGCCCTGTGCCCGCAGTGTCCCGGCACACACCTGCCCAGTGCAGAGGACTCCGGTTTTCTGCGTCCACAGCATCTTCATTGGCACCGTGCTGGGAAGAGCCACAGGGAAGCGGCATGGAACAGAGTGGTAATGTTCTCATCCCATGCCCATTGTGGGGTCCCTGGCTCCCTAATGACTACAGGGACCGGTGGGGGGGTCATGGCTCCGCAGGCCCAATCCATGCCTTACAGGTGGCAGGCAGCCTTGAATTTCAGGCCTGGTTCCTAAGCCTAGGGCCTGGGAAAACTCAGGTTACAGGTAAATAAGATGCTAGGACAGTAAGGCCTGGGTCCCTGGCCGGGACTTTGGGATGGTGATTGGGACTCTTGCAAAGCCTGGGAAGAACAAAAGCAGAAGGCAGGAGCCCAATGGCCTGTTGGCCTTCATATTTTTGAAAACTTATGTATTAATTGCCCACATGTCATTTCACATTTCACATGTCATTTCACATTTCACATTTCGCTTTGTGCTCTAGACTGCGAACGGCTCAAAGGCAGACAGTGGGCTTTTGGTTTCATTTGAAACTCTCTGCCCTCCTTCTGCCGGCCCATCATCATCACGGCAGTCAATCTCTGAAGTGGCTCAGCCAATGGCAGAGCTCAAAATATGCATATTGACTGTGGGGGCAGTCAGCCCCTGCCAACTCTGACCTGCCCTTAAGTGCGGGGCCTGCACATAGCAGGCGTTAAATAACTGTTTGTGAATTAAAGAATAAATAATCACCAGCTTTCTTATTGGGGAGGAGGGAGTATATTTGACTAAATATTGCTGTGACTTCAAGACAAAGTTCGGGAACCCTGGGTCCGCTTCTCCCTTCTCAGGAGGAGCATGGAGGGGTGGCTCACCTGGAGCAGGACCTTGACACACTGCGGCTGGCAGGAGATGGTGGCCAAGTGCAGGGCGGTGCTTCCTGGAAGGAGGAGAGGAAGAGAGGCAGGTGGGTGGCCCTGTGCAGGCCAGTGACTCACTGGGAGGGAAGGCGAGAGACGCACAGATAATCAGAGGGAGATTAGAGAGAGAAGCTCTCAGCCTTATGGGGCCAGAAATTCCTGTTCCCCGGGTGCCTGGTGTGCGGTGGAGGTGGGAGGGGGTGGTACATACCCAGCCTGCAGGGAGTGGCCTGCGGGAGGGTGCTGGCCAGACTTTATGAGGAGGGAAGAGGAGGCTGTGGTGGGACCCTCCGGCGGGCCGCACTGGCCCCCATGCTGCCTGCCGTGAGGGAAAAGCAAGCAGCACGCCGCAGGCTGACTCACCGTCCTCATTCTGGCTGTTGATTTCGGCCCCATTTGCAAGCAGGATAGTCAGACATTCCGTCAGGCCCTTGGAGGCTGCCAGGTGAAACCTGCAGGAGAACGAAGGGACCAGGGTATGAGGAATGGGAGAAGCCTCATAATCTCAATAATCACTGCCCGCACACCTACACTCTCTCACCCCAGAGCCCAGCCCAAAAAGATAGGGAAACCCCTGCCCGCCGTACTGAGAGAGGCGGCTGGATGGTCCGCTGTCACGGTGAGAGAAAGCTGGACGCAAATACAGAAATAAGAGCTCCAGCTCCCAAGCAGCCTCAGACTACGGCGGGGCGCCCAGGACCCTTCCCAGACTGGCCGTGTCACAGGGAGAGCCGGCCAGACCAGAGCAGAGGCTGGCCAGGTGAAGCTGACTTGGCAGAGACAAGAGCAATATCCCTCTTGTCCCACTCACTCCGCTTTGCCGTGTGACTCTCGTAGCTGCCACTTCATTCTGAACTTTCCAGGCACACCTCCCATCCCACCCCCACCTCTCTGTGCAATGCAGAAACACTCTGTGTGCTGTCTGGATCCGTGTTCTGTTTGCTTCATGGCTTTATGGCCTTTTTGGTCATTTTGTCAAGCGGGGCTGTGAGGTGGGTGGAGCTCATGGACAATACCTTCTTCCTGCACTTTATGCGGCACTTGGTCCCCAGCAAAGACTTATCAGGACCAAAGGGCCCGGAGCTGTGGGCTTTCCCTGTCCTGTGACACTGGGGTTGGAGTTTTCGAAGGGAGTCATGTGCCAAAGGCGGGTCCAGGGGACTCACTTACGGGGACTGGCCGTTGGAGTTCAGCTTGGTGGGTCGGGAAGACTTCCTGGAGGCCAGGGCGGCCACGCGCCCCACGTCCCCCCGCTGCACGGCCTCCAGCAGCTTCTGATCACGGCGGTTCCATCGCTCCACCTGGGGCAGAGCCGCAGATGGAGGTTTAGGGGAGGGTGGAGTGGAGAAAGGAAGGAGACAGCCCTAGCCAGTTTGCTCAGTGGTTAGAGCGTCGGCCTGTAGACCAAAAGATCCCGGGTTCGATTCTGGTCAAAGGCACATACTTTGGTTGCAGGTTCTTTCCCAGATCAAGCTCTAGTTGGGGCTCATGCAGGAGGCAACCAATCGATGTGTTTCTCTCGCATGGATGTTTCTCTGTCTTTCTCTCTTTTCCTCTCTCCCTAAAAATCAGTGGGAAAATATCCTCGGGTGAGGATGAACAGAAAGGAAGGAGACGGTTAGGAAGATGCCGATCCAGGGGAAAGGAACATCCCTGCGGGCCTTGCAGTGTTCCACTCAGCCCAGGTCACGTCGTCCCTGTTGGTGAACAGTTAAATGTCACCAGTTCACATGCCACCCAGCACGGCTGCTGGTTACTGCCAGCCCTGGACCCAAAGGGGCTTGGACTACTGGATTAAAAACCACTTTTGAGTGCTGGATGCAGAATATTTCAAATGGATTTAATATATATATATAGCATCGATCAGCTGCCTCTTGCACACCCCCTACTGGAGATGTGCCCACAACCAAGGTACATGCCCCTGACCGGAATCGAACCTGGGACCTTTCAGTCCACAGGCCGATGCTCTATCCACTGAGCCAAACCGGTTTCGGCAAAAATATATATATTTTATTGATTTTTTACAGAGAGGAAGGGAGAGGGATAGTTAGAAACATCGATGAGAGAGAAAAATCCATCAGCTGCCTCCTGCACACCTCCTACAGGGGATGTGCCCATAACCAATGAACATGCCCTTGACCGGAATCGAGCATCAGTCCGCAGGCCGATGCTCTACCCACTGAGCCAAACCGGTTTCAGGTCAAATGCCTTTGTAGCCCCCTCTGTGATTATCATTGTGGGTGCACAGCCTCAGAGCAGTCCTAGCCTCAACGCCTTTCCCTTCTGCTCTCAAACGGACCCAAGCGGACCACTCCTGGTTGGACTCACGTGCCTCTCAGCTTCCCAAGCTGCTCTGCTCTGTGTCTGCAGACGTTTGGGAAATCAAGGCACCTAATGTCAGGTCACAGCCCTGAGGCCAGTTATCTACCCATCGGCTTTGGGCCCCAAACTGGGAGGAGAAGCACAGAGTTTCGGTTTTCCCGTCTCACGTCTTTGCCCATTACCCAGCTGCTCTTCCCTTTCAGGGCAACAGCAGCCGAGAGACAAATATAGGCCTCTCGCTGGGTTTCAGAGGCAGCGGAGGCCTCTCCCCTCTCCTCCCTCCCTCCTTCCCCGTTCCGGCAGGGAGCAGCTGTCCCAGATAAGGCCACACCTGGGCGTGCATTGTTCTATTATTCCAGCCTGACTTTCTCCCGGAGATGGGGCAATTACAATAATTGAAGTATCACGGGGTGTGAGAGAGAGAGCTGGGTAAAACCATCCAGGGCAAAACGCACAGAAAAGCCTGGTCTGACCCAGCGAAGGGCCACCGGGGACCTGTCAGCAGGCCCAAGTTTGGGGTCTGGTTCAGCTACTTTCTCAGCTATGTGACCTGGAGTAAGCCATTTCACACCTCTAACCTGTTCCCTCATCTATCAAATGTGGGAAATAATAACTGCCTCATCATGTTGTATGAAATGAACTAATGTGCATAAAATCTCTCTGTAAACTGTGAAGAGCTACACAAGTGTACGGCATCCTTCTAACAAAACAGGAAGCACTGAGGTTTGGTGGTGGCACGTTGCATTTTATGAGGTATAATCTCAACAAGGAAGAGGCTATGGGAGGAGGTGGAAAAATATAGGGCTAATGGAAGCCCAATAACTCATTTCCAAATACTGTTTACATAATTAGGGCAAATTATCCATCACAAACAGGGAAGATTTTGAATGACCCAACCATGAAATGGCCCAGGGGAGATGGATTCGGGGGTAAGACGCCAGTACACGCTTGTAAATCCTCAAAGGCCTTTCAAGTGCTATTTTCAACCAGCCACTCTACATCCCCGGGAAGTGGTTTGGGCTGGTAATTATTTTATCTATCTGACACAAGACGTAACCAAAGCCCAGTGAGGTCCAATAACTGGGCAGACACCACAAAATGGCAGGAACGTTGAGATTAGAACCGAGGCCCCTGCCGTCCAACCCCAGACTCACCACCAGACCACACTACCCCCAGTGACGAGAGACATTTTACTTATTTCCAAACAAACAGCCTAAGGCTGCCTCAGGGCAGAGCCTCCCACTCTCAGACGCTACCTTTCCACACAGAGTCTCCAAGCAGGTTAATTCTCAAAGGACAAAATAAGCAAAGTGATCGCTCCACATACCAGCAGACCGAGAGGGAAGAACGCCTTATCCAGTGTCTCCTGGGTGCTGGGTCACCCTCAGAAAACACAGCCAGCACTCCGCCTCCAGCAGTCACCGCTGCTGAGGTACGGTACGGTAGTACCGTAGAAACTGCTGTTTGGGCTCTGTACTTATTTGGTTATTTTGATTTTCTGAACTTATGTATGCTATCCCGATACTCCATGGATGATGGTTTGAATGTCCCATTGCATGTGATCTCACTGGTCATCGAAGCACATTCTTCTGGGACCCAGGACAGTTTATCCTAAATTGTCTCAGTAGCTACAGAATACTGAGTTTCAATCGACTCAGTGGTCCCGGAATCTGGACAGCACAATTGTTCTAAATGGCCCCTGTGGTCCCAGATAATGTGTTTCTGTTGATTCAGTGGTTCATAAATACTTTAGATAACTTGCTCACGAAACAGGTTCCTCATTCCAGACCCAAAGATGTAATCGGTACCTTTGCCAATATAAGCCAGAGGTGGCAAGCTGTCCGGGGCTGTGAGGTCTGGGGCGCTTTTGCTCCCTCGTGGGCCGCCGGTAGGTCATTTTAATAAATGACTCCATAATTCGACTTTTTGAAGCGTCCTTGTAAGATGGCGGTTACGCTACAACACTACCAGCTGACCTCAGTGGGAAGTCCTCCGTTGAAAATCCTGATTCTAGCACTTCCCATCCTTGTGAACTTAGGCATGTGAAAACTTCCTGAACATCAGGTTCTAAAGACATAAAGCCCCTAGCGCTGTCTGGCACACAGTAAGTGCACAATAAATGTTAGTTGAAGCCCCGTTCTTTCTAGCCTTTGGGGGACTGTGAACAAAAGGGGTCACAGGCTGACCTGACAGCTCAGGGAAGGCCGGCGTGACGGTCTTGCAAACTCAGACCTAAAGCCACCACAGAGGATGGTCTGAAATTAAACTTTAACTAAAGCAGTGATGGTGGGCAGTTACATCCTAGGCCAGCATCTTCCCTGACAAGGTCAACCTTTACCTTATCAGTAACTGAGCTTATCTTTCTTTTTGCATCTATAATAACATACCCTTGAAATGTCAGGTCACTTGTAACTTCCCTTTTTCTGGAGCCCCTGGGGCACAACCTATTGTGCCTGAGCTCCAGGACAGAGACCACAAATTCCTTCATTGTTACCATGTTAATTGTTCCTGTACCCACCTAAGTATGTGCCTATCATTTTACTTTTTATCCAATCCCAGACGTGTGTGTCTCCCCCCCCCCACCCCCGTGCTTTCTCCCGCCTCTCTAGTCTGTCGCCAATGGATCTCATGTGACCCACCTAGGTCCCTTTCCTTTGATTGCAATGTATAAATACAGATGTAACCTGCCATTCTCCGTTACCTCAATTCTCCATTATCTCAATTCATTGAGATTCTGTTAGCTGCCATATGTTGACAGTTTGGCTCAAATAAACTCACAAAAATTCTTTGCAGGTTTCCATGTTTTTTTACTTTAACAGGCACATTTTGGATGTTCCTGGGCTCAGAAACCTCTGTACAGGGGAGTGGAAGGAAGAGATCTTGCTTAGCAGCTAAGCTGTATGGGTGGTACAGTGTTTCCTAGCAAAGTAGACATTTTCTTTTCAGCTAGACAGTTCTAATTCTACTGAATTTACTTAGTATAATCTTGTTTCATTAAAAAGAATTTAGAATAGGTGGAAATTCGTCATGATCAAACCTCTGCAGAGCGAGGGTGGAGGAAGACAAAGATATGCTTCTAAATTCCAAGATCTAGTCCATCGCTCAGCCAGCACCTTGGAAAAGAGGCCCTGGATTACCATCACAGCCTCAAGGGAGCAATTACCAAATTAATCAGCAGGTTCAAATACAGAAATAAGCGCTGTGTTTCTGTAGTTAAGGTTAGGGGCCTTTGTAAAAGTAATTGCAACTCCTTATCTCTGGCTGTGTGCCTGTGCGCCTCCCGCCCGCCACGACAGCACACGGGCAGCAGAGGGAGGGTGGCCACGGCGGTGGGCAGGTGAATGGAAACGGAAAGGTTGTCTGGAAGGATCCAGGAACTGACTCTCAATTTTTAAAATGCAACTGACATTTCTCTGAACTGATTCAGTCCCAGCTGTTTAAAGCTATTTTCTGGCCTACTTCCTGCAAAGGCAGAATAAGCTAATGTGTAAGACACTCTCTTCAAAGCCTTCTACTTGACTAAAATAAGATTATAAAAGCTGATTTTTGTCTGTTTGCTGAATTTCCTATATTCTGGATAACTTTGATTAGTTTTGGTTTTTTTTCCAAAAATGTATTTTATTGATTTTTTTACAGAGAGAAAGGGAGAGAGTTAGAAACATGGATGAGAGTGAAACATCGGATCAACTGCCTCCTGCACACCCCCTACTGGGGATGTGCCTACTACCAAAGAACATGCCCTTGACCTGGGTCTCTTTAGTCCACAGGCCGACACTCTATCCACTGAGCCATACTGGTCAGGGCAGCTTAGTTTTAAAGTGATCAGGCTCCAGCCAGTGTGGCTCGGTTGCTTGAGTGTCATCCCGTGCCCCCAGAGGAAGTTGGGAGTTCTATTCCTGGTGAGGCTCCATTCCCAATAGGGGGCGTGCAGAAAGGCAGCTGATGATGCTCTCACATAGATGTTTCTCTCTTTCCCCTTCCCTCCCATCTTCCCTCCCTCTTTTAAAAAATCAATAAACCTAGCTGTTTTGGCTCAGTGGACAGAATGTCAGCCTGCAGACTGAAGGGTCCCTGGTTCAATTCCGGTCAAGGACACTCCTTGAGTTGCAGGTTCAATCCCCAGTAGGGGGCGTGCAGGAGGCAGTCGTTCAGTGATTCTGTCTCATCATTAATGTTTCTTTCTCCCTTCTCCCTTCCTCTCTGAAATCAATAAAAAAAAATATTTTTTTAAAAATAGATAAAAATATCTTAAAGAAGAAAAAGAAGATGACCAGTGATTTTTCAGTCCTTACTCTGAGAGTGAAGGGCTCTGGCTCTGAACCCAGAGGCGGGTGCGATGGGCAGGGCCAGGCCGGTGTGACTGGAAGCTGGGCTTTAGGAGTGGCCAGGAAGGCTATCACACTATTTTATTTCTCTGACAGGCAGGTCCAGAGTGGTTAGCGACTCGGGGAGTGAGGAATTTCTCTTAGGAGGTATGAGGAAGTTTTATGGAGAAACAATGGCCTGTGAGGGAGCTTTCTGGGATCCCATCTGCCTGAGGAAAGTGTCCTCCCAGCCAGACAGTTCTCAATCTACTCAATGGCTTCCTGTAACCTTGTTCACTAAGGAGAGTTTAGAATGGGTAGAAACCCTTCATGGCCTCAACTTTGTAGAGCTGAATGAAGGACAGAGGGATACTTCCAAATTCCAAACTAACCCTAACCATAACCCTAACACTAACCCTAACCCTGAGGTTGCTCACCCAGCATCTTGGAAAGGGGACACTGAAAGGATTGGGAAGTCAGGTGGAATGAAACAGTGACCCCGTTCCTAAGGCACAGGCGGACTCCACAGACCTGACAGGGAGGGGCCCGTGGCGGACTGCCAGGAAAGAGCCCTTGTGCCTAAGAAAACCATTACGAGGGAGCACAGGGTCTGGGCAGCCTCCGTTTCCGGTGCCCATGTCACTCAGGGAGTGCCTGTGATTGGCTGGCCCATGAGAGAAACAAAGCGGAGAAGCATGTAAGTGGGACAAGGACAGGCCTCAACAGAGCTCCCCGATTGCCTCAGAGCTCGCGTTCAGCTTCTGGGGCCCGCCCGCGCGGAGCGCACTCAACATTTCTCACTTTTGCTCATGAGTGACATCACTCATTCAGTCAGGCTGGGCTAAGCTGTATCACTACAGACACTTGGCATCCTCAATGCACAATTCCCGTCTCCACAGAGAACGTGGTCCCCTGGTGGGGGGTCTCACTGTGAGAGATCCTCAGAGAAGAGGACACACTTCCCAAGCCACCGCCTTCTGCAATCTTTTTCCTTGTGCTTTGTTCTGGGAGAAGAGGGAGTGGAGTGACTTCTGCTGGGAACCCTGAGTGAATCCACTCTCTTCTCGCCGCCACCTTTCCCCAACCCAGTCAAAGGAGGCAGCATAAGCCCCAAACCACTGGGTGACGGTGTACAGGGAAGGAAGATTCTGGGGAGAAGCAGGCGGGAGGCCCTGGCTGGCCCAGGAACCAGTCTGATGACCAGACACTGCAGTGACCCGGTCAGGGCGAATTCTGCAGGCAGCTTCCCCGGATCTGTGTGCAGAAGCCAGGCACCATGCCTTCTCCGGCAGAGCCTGCCAGGCCGGCCAGACTGTAAGATTAACCCGCAGAGAGCAGGCGGGCCAGGCAAAGGGGGGCACAGTGGGGCTGAACAACCATCGGGCAGAGAGGGGCAGAAGCTGCAGGGGAGAGCAGGAGAAGGCAGCTGGTGGGGAGCACCCATTAGAAAGAGGCGTGGAGGGGTGTCTGTGAGCCTGCGGGAATGGAGAGGGGATGAGAGGGGGGGAGGCATGGGTGCAAGGATGGAGAAGAGCTAGGGAAGGCACGGGGCTGGGAGAAAACAGCATGAATAGGACCAGAGGGGAGGGGAGGGCGGTGAGGACAGCACCGGACTGGGCTTGGGGGACAGAGTGGAACTTTGGCTGAGCTGGGGCTGTGGATAGGAGATGGTTCAGAACTGAGAGACTGAGCAAGAGTAGAAGACAGGCCTTCCAAAGGGGACAAGGGCTGCAGGGAACATACTAGAAGCTGGGATTGTAGGTGACAGCAGGACAAGAAAGGGCCAAGGCAAAGAACCTTGGGGAGGTCAGAGGTTAGCAGAGTCTGGGGGCAGGGTCTTGAGGGAGGCAGGAACGGCGGGCTGGCTACATTCTGCATTTAGGGAAGGAAGACCTGGAAAGACCGAGAGAGGAAAAAGGCAAATGGTGCCCCGGGGTGGGACACAGGGTCTCCACAGGGCTCAAACTCTAGCCCCGTCCCCATACTCCCAGACGTTTTGGCACCTACCGCCACCTTTGAGCTGGAGCAGGAGAAGAAGCGCTTCATGGCCAGTGCCAGGGCCAGGGCCAGGGCCACGGGGGGACGGGGACGCGCGGAGGAAGGGGCCACAGGATCCCGAACCCACCGAACTCGGTCGCGGCTGTGCCAGGGCAAGCTGTCAAAAGCAGGGCCGCCCCGCCCCCGGGCCGCCCGGCTCGCTCAATCAGACACCAGCCCCGCGGGCTGCGCTCACAGCTCCGCCCCGGCCCTGCCCCTCCGCCGCGGCGGAGGCGAAAAGCCTGCAGTCTAGGGCGGCGACCTGGGCTGGGTCTCAACCCCCGCCCTCCAAACCGAACCGAACCGAACCCGCCCTCCAAACCGAACCCGCCCCGCTCCGACCGCTTAACCGTAGACAGAACTGCCGCGTGGGCGGCGCTAAACCCCTCCCAGGCCCCGCCCCAGCCCCGCCCCCTCCACAAACCGCCAGTCCCAGCCCCGCCCGAAGCCACGCCCCGCCGCAGCCCCGCCCCGCCCATAGCCCCGCCCCCGCCCCGCCACCAACCGCCAGCCCCAGCGCCACCCGACGCCCCGCCCCCTCCGCAGCCGCCCCGCTCTAACCCCGCCCCCAGGCCCGCCTGGGCCCCCTTGCGCCGCAGGGGGCGGGCATCCCGGCTTCTCTCCTGCGCTCTGCTGGTACCATTGTCGCATTAACCTCTATTCTAAGGTGACCAGACGTCCCGATTTCTAACAATTTGTCCGGCGTCCTGCGTCGTTTTGAAAAAGTCCGAGGGACGCGGGACAAATGGTTAAAAGCGGGATGGCCTAAACAGGTTTGGCTCAGTGGTAGAACGTCGGTCTGCGGACTGAAGGGCCCCAGGTTCGATTCCAGTCAAGGGCATGTACCTTGGTTGCAGGCACATCTCCAGTAGGGAGTGTGCAGGAGGCAGCTGGTCGATGATTCTCTCTCATCGATGTTTCTAACTCTCTCTCCCTCTGTGAAAAATCAATAAAAAATATTTTAAAAATAAAAAATAAAGTAGTTGAATGTGATTTAAAAAAAAAAAAAAAAAGCGGGACGTCTGGTCATCTTACTCTATGGACGCTTTCGTTCCATCCAGAAACCTTTGGCCAACGAGCTACCTCTGCCTCCTCCCCATCCCCCCGCCAAAACCAGGCGCGAGGAGGACCCGAAGGAACAGTTTGGAAATGGGGGAGACTGTAGTGTGGATGGTGCATGTGACTCGGCGAAACATGGGGAACAAAACTTGAGGAAAAGGGGGTTGGGTTTAACCTCCTAAAAAAGCACCTGTAAGTTAGAAAAGGGCAGAGGAAGAAGAGAGAATTTTTGTTTTAAGCATAGGCCATCCTCCTTTGCATTCTTTAAGGGGGAAAATGTGCTTTTTAAATTCAAACTCAGCAATTCTGACTCGAACAATCAGTCCCAGCCAACTGGTGTACCCTGCGGCAGGCGGCCAGAGCTAGCCCGCCCCCCCCCCCCAACCCCTAACAGAACCTAAAGGTCACAGCGGGACGTCTTCACGTGGCTTAGAAGGCTCCGAGGAGCTGACCCTGCCTTCTCCAGCCTCATCTCCCACTGCTTGCACAGCAGTGCGCAGGGCGTTCTAATCACTGCAGTTTCCTTCCCAGCTGGTGACTCCTCCTCTCGCACTTGGTGGTCCCTCAAGCTAATCTTTTTCCTGTAAAGTTTTCCCTTTTAACCCTGCCACCACCACCCCCTAAACACACACACGGTGCCAAACTGTGCGATGCAGTTCTAATTCTGCTATGTCATGTAGCAACCACCTCTCAGTAATTGTATTTGTTTATATGTCTGTTTTTCCGATTAGACTGGGCTCTTTGATGGTAGCAGCTGTATTTTCTATTATTCTCATTGCCTGGTGCACATTAGGTGCTTCATGTCTGATGAGAGAATGAAAGAATGAAGAAATAAAGGCACAATAATGAGAAAAGAAGGAACACGCATGTCTGAAGAGAGCTTGTTGTTTCTACAGTTGTTTCTCCAACTTGCTCTGCTCCAAAGAAAGAGGTAACAGGCTTACTGAAGAACTAGAGGCCTGGTACACCAAATTGAGCAGAGGTGGGGGCCGGTAGCGGCTGCCAGCTACCGGCTGGGGCCTCCCTTCCCTGGCTACAGGCTGCTGCCAGGGCCTTCCTTCATTTCCTGCCACCCCCTGGTGGTCAGTGCACATCATAGCAAGTAATCTAAAACTCCTAGTTGGTGGAACTCCTGAGGGGACACTTTGCATGTTAGGCTTTTATATATATAGAAGATAGATTAGAGTTAGAAAGTTCCATTCTGAGGGGGGGGGGGGGAAGTCCCGTTCTGGAACTGAGAGATAGAGAGGGATCTCTAGATGAATAAGAATACCAAAAGTGCTCTTTTAATCTTATGGAAAAAGAATCAGATGAGCTCGGCCTATATGATTCTGTGGTTGAGCACCAACCCATGTACCAAGAGGTCAATGGTTTAATTTCCCATCAGGGCACATTCCTGATCCCCAGTAGTGGTTGTGCAGGAGGTAGCCAAGAGATAATGTTTTCTTCACTTTCACGGATGATTCTATCTCTCTATTCCTTTTCTTTCTCCTCTCTCTAAGAAATCAATAAAAACATATCTTTTTAAAAAAAAAATTAGATGAACCAGTCCTCAAGGAAATCCATCTCCCTCTGGATAAATCCATTTCCCTCTGGCATGGATAAAAAGGGGAAATCTGTTATAACTATGGCCTCCATCCCAGCTCTATAAACAGTATGTTCCATACAGGCTGATTAAGCTTTTGCCTACATGAAGTACATTGATGGCCACCATGGACTGCTAATGCCACAAAGTAACTCACCAGCTTGCCACAGAATAGTTGTCCCTGCCTAGTAGGCCAGATGCCACCATTCTCAGGTCAGGTGACAGAGGCAGGGACAGTCTCTAGGCCATTGCTGAGGTGCAAATGTCCCTTGAGGGTAAGACAAGAACTCTGGGTGCCTAAAAAAATACAATAGATTTGATTTCTACCATTACAACCTAAGTTCATTAGCTACTTATCACCTCGGTGGGCATGAGGGCTTATTTCACAGGGGATGAGGTGCAGGGTAAGAGTTGGTGGGAGGAGACAATAGCGTACAGAAGAGACAGATCTTCAGCGTCTGTGAAGGAAGGGAAGTCAGGATGGCCTGGTGCCTTACTATACCCCTCGTTCTATCTTCACAATACACAGCAGGTAGGTTAGTTAATAACAAAATATATTTATAACAATAGTGACCATTTATGAAGACAGCATATGCTCACTTAAATTATCTCACTGAGGCCTCACAACCCTAGTAAGTTTAAAGATAAGAAAGCCAAGACTTAGAGAAGTCAAATCTGTTCAAGGTCAAACAAGTTTTAAGCTGTAGAATTTAGATTTAAACCCTAGTCTGTTTTCATTCTTAAACACTATGTCACACAGCCTTTTGTTATCTGAGCCGTGGGCTGGTTATGACTTGCCCAAGGCCACTAGCTAATAAATGGCAGACCTGGGGCTTCAATCCAGGCCTATGTGCGTCCCAAACCCCACATTTTACACAGGAGGTTAGAGCTCATTGCAGGGGGAGAGGCACAGAAAACATTTCAAGCGCTTCATAACTTTGCCTTTGAGGGACTCAGTCGTTTAAGGTCTCACCTCAGGGGAACCAAGAAAACCTCTCTATCCTAGGGGACTCAAAAAGAACGGAAGTCACTTGACACGGAACTTTATTTGCTCTGGCCATCTGATACGCTGTCCACCGTGCTGGACAACAGAGACAGTGCCCTCTGCAAACAGCTCCACACACGCCAAAGTCAATACTGTGGGCCTCAAGGACAGCCGTGAAGGACAGGTTCTGGGTGCTGCGCCCTGGAGACCAACAACTGACTTTGGCATCCACAGTCTTGATGACAAAGAAGTAGAAGTTACCCAGTTGTTGATGAGAATCAGTTTCTCTTAACCGGCCAGGACCAAAAAAGGGGATGGGGTGGGGGTGGGCCAGAGATGGAAATGAACTTGAGAATGTCTAGTAAACATCAGGCAAGGGCTGGCCACATGCTTCCACCACAGAAGCCCTGCAAAGGAGGAGCTGCCCCAGAAACATGTTCCTGGGAGCTGTTTGTGCTAAACAGCCAGTGCTGAGCAAGGGAGGGCTTGTTCCTCAGAGACCTCCTGCCACTCACTTTGGCTTCCTCCTCAATGCATGGATACCCCACTCATTCAGACTCCCTGGGGCTGCTGCTTCCCGGAGCTGGTGATGTGGGAGGGTCCCTTTCCCTTCTCTGCAGTTTACAGAGGGCTCAATAAAAAATTTGTGAGGCCTGAGGAAGGAGAAAAGGCTACCTGGGTTATCCAGGCTGCTCTGCTATTCCACCTCCAGCCACCTGGGGGCCTCTGGCTCCAGTGATTCGGGGCTCTGGCTTCGCTCCCAGGGCATGGTGGGAGCTGGGAAACCCAGACGCAGCGGGCCTGGACCAGCTCCGCTTCCCCAGCACCTGAGGGCGGGCCAGCGCACCGCCACGTCTCGGGTTTCAGGGGGATGGCAGTTGCCTGTCTAAAGGCTCCTCTGTTCCTTGGAATTGTACAGAATGTCTCTTGTGGCTTTTCCTCCTCCCTCTTTTTTCCTGTTGACTCTCCCCAGTTGGCTTTCTGAATCACCAGGCTCCAGAGGGAAGCAGCAGATGTTGACTTTACTTCTTTCAAGCCAACGTCAGCTCCCTCCTGCGGAGCGGGGAGCCAGCAGGAAGATGAGAGGCAGGGGACAGAGGGAGACAGCCTCACCCTTCCCAAATGGTGCGGGAGGCCGGAGAGGGACTCTGAGAGGAGGCAGGGGCCTAGGCAGAACATTCCCGGTTCCCGAGGCCAGAGGAAAAGGCCCCCCGTGCTGGCCGCGGAACCATGAGCATGAGCAGACAGTGGGAGTGCTCCCAGTCTGGGTGCCAGCCCTTCTTGTCTGAGGTAAGACCTCATCTCTGGCCAGCAGCTTCCTCATGACTACACAGTCAGGTCAGGGTTCAGGGGAGGGGAGGCCGTCCCAGGGCGTGTTCT